TCACGGAGGAGGGTCTCTAACACCAGGGGCACCGTAGCCCATGGTGACCCTTTCCAGCTGAGAGGAACACTACAGGCAGGACGGCGAGTCCGTTATCCTGTAGAGGTGGTTAGGTAAGACACATATGCAACAGTTAGACATCTTTATTCCGAAACGTTTCGCCTACACAGTAGGCTTCTTCAGTCGAATACAGAAAGTAGGCAGGAGCAGTAGAGATGTGAAGACGATGTAATCAGTCCATCACCCTTAAAGTCGTAGAATTTGAGGTTGTCAGTCCCTCGGCCTGGAGAAGTTCAGTTCCATAGTCAGGAACTATCTGAAGATCAAGCGACAGTGCGGAGGCTTAAATACTGTCGGAAGGAGAGGTGCAGGGTAGTAGTAATAGTAGTAGTAGTAGTAGTGAGAGGCAACTGAGAGGTCATGTCCCTCTCAGATCCAACCCTTCTCACTTGAAAAGCTTGTCCAAGGTGTTTTCTGTACCAAGATGCCACGTGTTGCAGTGTCTGACAAGATGAACATCAAAATGGTATACAATACCGACAGGTTGTTAGGTAAGACACATATGAAAACAGTTAGACATCTTTATTCCAAAAACGTTTCCCCTACACAGTAGGCTTCTTCAGTCGAATACAGAAAGTAGGCAGGAGCAAGTAGAGATGTGAAGACGAGTAATCAGTCCATCACCCTTAAAGTCGTAGAATTTGAGGTTGTCAGTCCCTCGGCCTGGAGAAGTTCAGTTCCATAGTCAGGAACTATCTGAAGATCAAGCGACAGTGCGGAGGCTTAAATACTGTCGGAAGGAGAGGTGCAGGGTAGTAGTAATAGTAGTAGTAGTAGTAGTGGAGGCAACTGAGAGGTCATGTCCCTCTCAGATCCAACCCTTCTCACTTGAAAAGCTTGTCCAAGGTGTTTTCTGTACCAAGATGCCACGTGTTGCAGTGTCTGACAAGATGAACATCAAAATGGTATACAATACCGACAGGTTGTTAGGTAAGACACATATGCAACAGTTAGACATCTTTATTCCGAAACGTTTCGCCTTACACAGTAGGCTTCTTCAGTCGAATACAGAAAGTAGGCAGGAGCAGTAGAGATGTGAAGACGATGTAATCAGTCCATCACCCTTAAAGTCGTAGAATTTGAGGTTGTCAGTCCCTCGGCCTGGAGAAGTTCAGTTCCATAGTCAGGAACTATCTGAAGATCAAGCGACAGTGCGGAGGCTTAAATACTGTCGGAAGGAGAGGTGCAGGGTAGTAGTAATAGTAGTAGTAGTAGTAGTGAGAGGCAACTGAGAGGTCATGTCCCTCTCAGATCCAACCCTTCTCACTTGAAAAGCTTGTCCAAGGTGTTTTCTGTACCAAGATGCCACGTGTTGCAGTTTTCTGACAAGATGAACATCAAAATGGTATACAATACCGACAGGTTGTTAGGTAAGACACATATGCAACAGTTAGACATCTTTATTCCGAAACGTTTCGCCTACACAGTAGGCTTCTTCAGTCGAATACAGAAAGTAGGCAGGAGCAGTAGAGATGTGAAGACGATGTAATCAGTCCATCACCCTTAAAGTCGTAGAATTTGAGGTTGTCAGTCCCTCGGCCTGGAGAAGTTCAGTTCCATAGTCAGGAACTATCTGAAGATCAAGCGACAGTGCGGAGGCTTAAATACTGTCGGAAGGAGAGGTGCAGGGTAGTAGTAATAGTAGTAGTAGTAGTAGTGAGAGGCAACTGAGAGGTCATGTCCCTCTCAGATCCAACCCTTCTCACTTGAAAAGCTTGTCCAAGGTGTTTTCTGTACCAAGATGCCACGTGTTGCAGTGTCTGACAAGATGAACATCAAAATGGTATAAAATTTACCGACAGGTTGTTAGGTAAGACACATATGCAACAGTTAGACATCTTTATTCCGAAACGTTTCGCCTACACAGTAGGCTTCTTCAGTCGAATACAGAAAGTAGGCAGGAGCAGTAGAGATGTGAAGGACGATGTAATCAGTCCATCACCCTTAAAGTCGTAGAATTTGAGGTTGTCAGTCCCTCGGCCTGGAGAAGTTCAGTTCCATAGTCAGGAACTATCTGAAGATCAAGCGACAGTGCGGAGGCTTAAATACTGTCGGAAGGAGAGGTGCAGGGTAGTAGTAATAGTAGTAGTAGTAGTAGTGAGAGGCAACTGAGAGGTCATGTCCCTCTCAGATCCAACCCTTCTCGACTTTAAGGGTGATGGACTGATTACATCGTCTTCACATCTCTACTGCTCCTGCCTACTTTCTGTATTCGACTGAAGAAGCCTACTGTGTAGGCGAAACGTTTCGGAATAAAGATGTCTAACTGTTGCATATGTGTCTTACCTAACAACCTGTCGGTATTGTATACCATTTTGATGTTCATCTTGTCAGACACTGCAACACGTGGCATCTTGGTACAGAAAACACCTTGGACAAGCTTTTCAAGTGAGAAGGGTTGGATCTGAGAGGGACATGACCTCTCAGTTGCCTCTCACTACTACTACTACTACTATTACTACTACCCTGCACCTCTCCTTCCGACAGTATTTAAGCCTCCGCACTGTCGCTTGATCTTCAGATAGTTCCTGACTATGGAACTGAACTTCTCCAGGCGAGGGACTGACAACCTCAAATTCTACGACTTTAAGGGTGATGGACTGATTACATGTCTTCACATCTCTACTGCTCCTGCCTACTTTCTGTATTCGACTGAAGAAGCCTATGTGTAGGCGAAACGTTTCGGAATAAAGATGTCTAATGTTGCATATGTGTCTTACCTAACAACCTGTCGGTATTGTTTTACCATTTTGATGTTCATCTTGTCAGACACTGCAACACGTGGCATTTTGGGTACAGAAAACACCTTGGACAAGCTTTTCAAGTGAGAAGGGTTGGATCTGAGAGGGACATGACCTCTCAGTTGCCCTCACTACTACTACTACTACTATTACTACTACCTGCACCTCTCCTTCCGACAGTATTTAAGCCTCCGCACGGGTCGCTTGATCTTCAGATAGTTCCTGACTATGGAACTGAACTTCTCCAGGCCGAGGGACTGACAACCTCAAATTCTACGACTTTAAGGGTGATGGACTGATTACATCGTCTTCACATCTCTACTGCTCCTGCCTACTTTCTGTATTCGACTGAAGAAGCCTACTGTGTAGGCGAAACGTTTCGGAATAAAGATGTCTAACTGTTGCATATGTGTCTTACCTAACAACCTGTCGGTATTGTATACCATTTTGATGTTCATCCTGTAGAGGTGTAGATAAGCTACCCCACAGCAAAGTTCACTAACCCGCTGCTTCCTGGGATCGCTTGTAGTCTAGTAACTGATTTTGTGTGGACTTCAAAGTGTATCATACAGCACCATTCTGCAGACCTTACAGGTTCATGTGACAGTGATCAGGATAGCAGTGATCAGGATAGATAAGTTTCTTACATTTATTAGGCATTCCCCTTGTGGATAATACTCAAATGGAAGTTTATCTTGATACACTTTGGACACAGGAGGTATTATACATTCGCATCAGTAAGTAAGTTTATTCAGGTATACACATACAGTTACATAACAGCATATGTGTAGAGAACCTAGGATAACCCCAGAAAGTCAGTTACTTCGATGCTGTCCATCCTGTAACAAGTTTCCTACTCTAACCATCTAAGTTCTAACCATCAAGTTTCAATCTTGTGTAGCAACACTAAAAATCGAAGGTTTCAGCATAGATTACCTTTTACCCTTATTTAATTATAGGCCGATTATCTAATCATGAACCCAGGCGCCATCATTCAGAGTAACTGGAATGATCTTAATTGATGAAGAGCATGAGCTGTGTGTGGCTACATTATCCTCCTTCCTGGCTTCTATATTAACCTATATGAATTCTCATCGTTATTAATGTCTTTGTATCATATTAGTGGAGAGAGTACACAAATAACCCGCACATAAAAGAAAGAAGTTTACGACGACGTTTCGGTCCGACTTGGACCATTGACAAAGTCACACTAACAGAGGTGGAGCAGGACGGCTATATATAGGCAGGAAGAGGTGGAGGTAGTAGTAGTAGTAGTAGTAGTAGTAGTACAAGAATTGTATATAATACCGACAGGATGAAATGACACATGCACAACACCCGGGCATCCCCACCGTAGACGTTTCGCCATCCAGCCAGCCACTGGATGGCGAAACGTCCACAACAAAGACAACCAGACGCCGCACATGTGTCTTAATTTCATCAGTAGTTGTAGTAGAAGAAGAAGAGGTAGTAGTAGTGGTAGAAGTGGGAAATAAGGAAGACGAGCAAGTCACTTCTACCACTACCACTACTACTACCTCTTCTTCTACTACAACTACTGATGAAATTAAGACACATGTGCGGCGTCTGGTTGTCTTTGTTGTGGACGTTTCGCCATCCAGTGGCTGGCTGGATGGCGAAACGTCTACGGTGGGGATGCCCGGGTGTTGTGCATGTGTCATTTCATCCTGTCGGTATTATATACAATTCTTGTACTACTACTACTACTACTACCTCCACCTCTTCCTGCCTATATATAGCCGTCCTGCTCCACCTCTGTTAGTGTGACTTTGTCAATGGTCCAAGTCGGGCCGAAACGTCGTCGTAAGCTTCTCTCTTTTATGTGCGGGTTATTTGTGTATCGTTCCAGTCACGGTATTGTGCCTTTTTGTTATTTAGTGGAGAGAGTAGAAGTGATAAGGTTATTATTAACTTGCGGCCAGTACGGTGTTTATCACAACCCTGTAATCGTCTTTCTCTGGGAATTCACAGTGGAAATAAGTCACGTAAATAAAAAAAAAAATTGTACGTGTAAAGTTAATTTTTATTGATCTTATTTCTCTTTGGTGAGTAAATGTTCTTTTGGCAGCTTGTAACAATATTGTAATTTTATTATACAATGTACGGCTGTTGTATGAAGCAGAATTCTAACCTTGAATAAATAGCATATGGTATTAAATATTTCTTTTTCTTTTTCAGAGTCCCCTTTACACAAAAAAATGGAGAATAATTTTGGCTGTGCTGGTAAGTAGGCCTCTTAATGTTCTCTTAAGTGGTTGGCCAAAGAGCCAGGACATTGTTTTAGCAATAGTATTTAAAAAGATAATGTACTTTACCTGTTCTGCCCAATATCGCTTCTGGCTGGTAATTAATGGAAGTGCTTGCATCTCTGTTTAGAAGAGCTGCAGTTAAACATAATGTACTTATATGTTGTAAAATAACTTCCTCATTAAAAAAAAACATTATCTTTAATAAAATTTTATGTCTTTAATGAATTTTTATATTATTGGTAATTGATTTTATAGTTATATTTAGACAAGAAGTGTTTTGAAAATGTAGTACAGGTCGACCATCACTAATCCGGCATTATTGGAACCTGTAGGGTACTGGATTAGTGATTTTGCCCGATCACAGAGTGGTTAGGTTCAGATACATTAATACCTGACTTATATACAAGAAATTTTGGCTTGTTCCTTCACCAGAGCTCCAGAGAGCTCAACACCTTCACATACATGTAACCTAAATTACATCATTAGATCTATTCCTAGTATATCTCCTTTTAATCTTTAAATAAGGAAGTATCACAAGGACCCCATTGGAAATAAGTCACTTTTTCTGACTTTCTTGGGTTATCCTAAGTAATCTACACATCTGCTACTTTGTATGAATATTTATGTAGCTGTATTTATGTGCACCTGTACCTGAATAAAACTACTTAGTGAACTTTTTCCTTCATTGTTTTTCCTTTTACACATGTTTCTTTGAGAGAAACTCAGTAATTTTTCTTTCTGTTTCTTTATGTCATAAACTGTCGAAGAGCCAGTGCTGTATAATTCACACAGTCTTCTCACAGACACACCGCTGTTGAGTTTTTTCAGAAGTTCAGCCTTATGAGGACATTAGAGCACTCCAGGATGTTTTGAATAGACTGACGCAATGGTCGGAGAAGTGGCAGATGCAGTTTAATATTGACAAATGCAAAGTTCTAAATGTTGGACAGTTAAATAACCATAACAATGAACGTGAAAAGCAGGGGTGTCACTAGCATGTTAAGAGACCATACAATAAGTGTCAGGGGTCCGAGACTGTTCAACTGCCTCCCAGCATACATAAGGGGGATTACCAACAGACCCCTGGCAGTCTTCAAGCTGGTACTGGACAAGCACCTAAAGTCGGTTCCTGACCAGCCGGGCTGTGGCTCGTACGTTGGTTTGCGTGCAGCCAGCAGTAACAGCCTGGTTGATCAGGCTCTGATCCACCAGGAGGCCTGGTCACAGACCGGGCCGCGGGGGCATTGACCCCCGGAACTCTCTCCAGGTAAACTCCAGGTAACACACATAAACTAAATAATGTAGATCTTAATACTACCGATTGCGAAAAGGATTTAGGAGTTCTGGTTAGCAGTAATCTAAAACCAAGACAACAGTGCATTAGTGTTTGCAATAAAGCTAACAGAATTCTTGGCTTCATATCTAGAAGTATAAATAATAGAAGTCCTCAGGTTGTTTTTCAACTCTATATTACCTTGGTTAGGCCTCATTTAGATTATGCTGCTCAGTTTTGGTCACCGTATTACAGAATGGATATAAATGCTCTGGAAAACGTACAAAGGAAGATGACAAAGATGATCCCATGTATCAGAAATCTTCCCTATGAGGATAGACTGAGGGCCCTGAATCTGCACTCTCTCGAAAGGCGTAGAATTAGGGGGGATATGATCGAGGTGTATAAATGGAAAACAGGAATAAATAAAGGGGATGTAAATAGTGTGCTGAAAATTTCCAGCCAAGACAGGACTCGCATCAATGGTTTCAAGTTGGAAAAATTAAGATTCAGGAAGGATTTAGGAAAGCACTGGTTTGGTAATAGAGTTGTGGATGAGTGGAACAAGCTCCCGAGTACAGTTATTGAGGCTAAAACGTTGTATAGTTTTAAAAATAGGTTAGATAAATACATGAGTGGGTGTGGGTGGGCATGAGTTGGACCTGACTAGCTTGTGCTGCTGGGTCTGGTACAGTGCTCCATCCTTGAGTGGGGATGACCAGACTGGGTGGGTCATTGGGATAATCCGGGGGGTGGGTCATTGGGATAATCCGGGGGGTGGGTCATTGGTTTAATCCGCGGGGGGACATGGACCTGCTGCGCATGGGTCAGTAGACTTGTTGCAGTGTTCCTTCTTTCTTATGTTCTTATGTTATCTTTTACGGACAATGTGTGGTGTTTGCGCTTTACACAATAAGAAGCATTTCTTTTATTTATTGGAAAACTTGGCTAGGACTAAAAGTGAACAGTTATAACAATAGATGGAGAAAAACAAATTTGAATAACTCATGCAGCAAGTAGTGCCACCAAACAATAGCGGCAAGTTGATGCAGCGACCCAGGAAATTTGATATTATGCTAGCTGAAATTAGTGCTGGAGTAGCGATAGAACCTGATTAGTGATTGCCAGATCAGTGATCGCCAACCTGTATAAGCAGGGAGTATACAGTTCATCTTGTGCCTTGTACTTGTATGGTACACAGTACTGACAAGATGAAGAATTAGACACGTGCAACATCTGGGTATCTTTACTGTAGACGTTTTGCCATCTAGTATCTTTATCAATACAAATTCAGCGACATAATGTGAAGACAGTAGAAATACATTACCTAATCTTTTGTATAGACAGTGGTATCTTGACTCACGAGTTTAATTCGTTCCGTGACCGAGCTCGTAACTCAGCTTGCTAGTACAGTATGTCAAATCAGTTTTCCTCAGTGAAATGAATTGAAATGCCATTAATCCGTTCCAGCCCCCAAAAAACCACCCCAATTTTTTGGTTATGGGTTTTTAAATAAGAAAAATGTATTTATAAATAAGAAATATTGTATAAAAACATAATAAAAGAGAATGTTAAGAAATAAACCGGTTTTATAAAGCGTATTTACCTTGGATATCAGACGACTTGGGCTAACGGAAGATGCTGGTGGAGGTGGAGGGCGGAAAAGATAGGCAGAGGAGATTGGAGGAGTTCGTTTGTTTTGTGCTTTTTCGGTTACTTTCATTTGTCATAGACTCTTCATTTGTCATAAACTTACTTGCTACACTCTTAATGCTACACTTTATCGCTGAACTTAATTGCAACAATTTTTTTTTTTCACTTCACTTTCACTGATTTTTGCCTTTTTTGTCACGCTTTCCTCACTTTCATCTTCTCAGCACTGTCCTTTGCACTTACTTTCTTAGGGCCCATGGTTAGAAAAAAGGAAATTTGGCAAAATAACTGCACAAAACGCAAGCACAACACGAGAGATGCTTCTACGGCAAGGTAACCACATGCACTGAACGAGTGAGACGCAAGATGCTGGTGGATGTTGGGGCATTTGCTGCGCCAACTAGTGGCAGCGTATCTGAAGCTAACTCATAACTCGGATCTTGGCTTGCAACTCAAAGCAAAAAATCGACTGAGCGATGGCTCGTAACTCGGAAAACTCGTAAGTTGGGGCACTCGTAAGTCAAGGTACCACTGTCTTTCTGTGGTTTTCCAGTTACATGTATGCCCTTGAATTTGTATTGCTAAGGCCACTAGATGGCAAAAAGTCCACAGTAAAGATACCCAGATGTTGCACATGTGTCAAATTCTACATTTGGGGCCTTCTTAAACTTCTAGGCAGCTACAACAGAACACACAGGCATAACATGAGGCACAAAACACTTTTTGACATCCCTCGTGTCTGTCTTACGCTATGCAAAAATGCAATGCACATAAAGGGTACGAAGATCTGGATCTCTTTGCCCGAAATAGCAAGAGGTCCCCTGCCCATAAATTGGTTTAGGGCTATACTTAAAAATCATGTCATCTCTCAATAATAACCATACCCATGCTATGCTAATCTCTAACCAGTTTTGAAGCAACTCTCCCAAATATTTTATTACCCCTCATCTATTAAACCATTATTACATACCTAAAAATGTATGTTTGTATCATAAATTGTACTACCTCATATTAATAAAAGAATAAAATATTGAATGTTTGAAATCTACCACTCATTACCTGTTTAGACTTAAGTAGTCTTTAAGTATTAGGTTAAGTCTGCCCGAAATGCCCCAGCATGATAGTGGCATTCTTTGTACCAATGAAATTATGAAATGTAAACACACATTGTAACCTTTGCAAACAAATAAACTTTTGTTTTTGTTTTTGTTTTGCTTTTGTTTTGTTTTGTATCATTATGCCACACTTCAGATTGGTGTAACACTGATTGGTGTGTGCATTCTGGGGTTCTACCTGAGTGTGAAAGCAAGGGAAGGTGACAGGATTGCTGCAAAAATTACTGCCTTCAATGCCACAACAGCTCCTCCCCCAAGAACCTCAAAAGTCCGCTGGCGCCACGACGAGAGTATCTGTCTCTCTCTTTCTAATGACACATGTCCAGGTCAGCCATCTCTGTTGGTTATGACAAGTACATATTTAAGAGGTGCATATTTTCATCTTGCTTATGGTAACAAGATGAGCATACAAAAATATATGGGACCATTAAGTTTTTCTAAAAGTTTGCCTCAGCTCATAACCTAGACTTATTTTTAAATTTTATTTTAATTATGATGCTATATGGGAATCTTATTTCTGTATTAATTAATATGCTGCAATTTTTCAGATTTACAAAGTCATTACTCATGAAAAGAATATATATGGTATATAATGCATTCATTAGCTACTCTTGTTTGAATTCACCTTGTAGTTAACAACAATTTTCATCCTCCTCACTTTGATGCTGGTGAATGGCTGTTGATCCAAGGAATCAGAGCTACCTTTCCCTTCCTCTAATTGAACCTGATTACCTCTCATTCCTCAGAAATTGTATGACCCCTGTGGCTTTAGCACTTCTCCTTTAATATAACAATAATACTATACTGTACTGTATTTTGTGCTGTGTACATAGGTGGCCTGGTGGGCAAAGCTCTTGCTTCACACTCTAAGGGTCTGTGGTTTGATTCCCAGCAATGGTGGAGACATTGGGCATGTTTCCTTACACCTGTTGTCCCTGTTCACCCATCAGTAAAAATTGGTACCTGTGTGTTAGTCGATTGGTGTGGGTCATATCATGGGAAAAAATTTACCTAATTTGCCCAGAATGCTCTGCATAACAAGGGGCTTTCTGTATACCTTGTACATGTACTTGTAGAAATAAAGATATTATTATATTATTATTATTACTATATAAGAGTAGTTACAAAATTTCACCTTCATTTAAAATGTAGTGTAGAGTATACACAGGAGGGCCCTTCTTATACAGCAGGTTAATTTCTGGGCTATTGCTGTAAAGTGAAACAATAATTATTGAATTCAAGTACATATAAAAGCCTGATGACATGTTTACACTGTCTTGTATATTAATTGAGCAATTGAGCTAGGCCTAAAAAATGCATATACAGTACACACATTACTTACCCTACAATATTTTTGTCCATAGCTTATAGTGAGTGGAAGATTGAGACACTTATGCAGCATATGGAAATCTTTATTCAGGAAACGTTTCCTGAATAAAGATTTCCATATGCTGCATAAGTGTCTCAATCTTCAACTTGTCGGTTTTTCAAACCATTCATCACAGCTTATAGTGAGTGGTGAATATATTTATTGTAGGAAGTCTGAATAATGAAGAATGGGTATGAAAACTGCTGCCTGTATGTTATTTCACATCCTGAACACATATTGTCTGACATATATGGAGAGTATGCATGTGAGTTATCTAAAGTGAATAATAACCGCAGCAATATGTTTTGGCACTCCATTATGTGTGCATAAGTCAAAATGAACAATAACCATATCTTGATTACTAATATTTGTGCTGCATTATTATTTTCTCAGTTACTGAGGATCTATAAAGTCTTCATTTTATAAACAATCAACTTTAATTGCAGATTTTGCACTTCATCCTCTCTTGGTTATTGCTGTAGATGGGTTACGACCAGATTTCCTAAATGATAGTATAACCCCAGCCATGAACTACCTGGCAAGGTGTGGAGTCAGTGCCAAAAGCCTCGTTCCTGTTTATCCCACCACTACCTTCCCAAACATGTATTCTATTGCAACGGTAAGATGGTGTTCAGTTGAAAAATTAAAACTGCATTTATAACTTCTCCACAAAAGAGTGGCTTTTTGAGATACAGTATTCAATTATCATACGACTTATTTGGCACCACACACTACTGTACTTAGTAAGGTAAGAGTTATTTATAAAGTATTTCAATGTTAGAAAAATGTTTGCTAGATATGTACAAGTAATCCCTTCTTAATAACATTCTGATGTACAATTTTTTGATATACATATGTATGACAACAGGAACACTAGAAACTCTTTTTCAATATGACATCCTCATTTCAATATACAAGAATTGTTGGAGCAACTCATCTCCAATAGTTTGCCCTGCTTCAGTGCCATCCAAGGTTGTATTTTATCCAAGTCAGCAGGAGTTCCATTAGAGCATTAAGTGATTAGAATTGCAGTGGTGGAAAAGATGAAGGAAAAGCATTAGTTAAGACATATTTTTTTTTTATTTTTGTGGATTGTTACTAGTGACAAACCAGGTGCTTTTGAAAAACCTCTTAATTCATGTTTTTACTTTTTTTTCCATCCATGGTTGACATGAGAAACTTATATCAAGTGCTTCCAAATTAACTTGCTCTCATAATAAATTATTGGTGAGCACCTTAAAGCTTCTCAGTGCTTGGATTTATGACCCAAGGCAGTGAAACAGTTCTTTGCAAGGGCAGAAGAACCCTCAGAACTAGTCACAGTTTTGAGAGTTTTTCAGGAGAAGGCCAGGAGTTTGTTTGACTGTTAAGGAAACTAAGTGAGAGTTAACATTTGGAAAGTTTTGGCAGCAAGGGTTAATTTGAAAGATTGAGGAGGCATAACAGCTTGCATAACATTTGAGTGACTGGTGAAACTGCAAGTGCCGATACCAAAGCAGCTGACTCTTTATCAGGATGCTTTGAAGGAAATAGAAGACGGTGGCTACACACTGAGGCAAGTATTCAATGTTTGCGAAAGTGGGCCGTGTTGGAAGCAGATGCCAACAATTCATCAACATGCTGACCATCATTTGTGAGTGTTTCTCTTATATTAATTTTTAATTTGTTCTCATGTATTTTTTTAATTAAATGTGTTCATCTTTGTTGTTGTGCAGTGCTTCCTTCTTTATTTGGACCCCAGTGGAAATAAGTCACTTTGTCTGACTTTTTTGGGGTATTTATACATATATTACTATGTATGATAATTGTACTTATATACATATACTTGTGCCTAAATAAACTTAACGTACTTGGTACCAGTTGGAAAAGTATCTCATAACAGTATGTTCATTTTTCCTGGAATGCATTTCCATTCATACTGTAGAGACAGATCTTCAAATTCATGGCACTCCAAATTTGTGGAATTCAGTTATACAATGTGTTTACTAAAGAGACTGCAGTGAATAATTTTTATTACTGTATTTGTGTTTTTTTTTTTTTTTTTTTTTTTTTTGGTGGTGCCTCTTTTTTTTTTTTTTTTTTCTTTTTAGCACATCTCTGAATTGAAAATTAATCGTTCTGTTTTATTCAAAGTACTCTATGCTTCACCGATTTTCCCATGTCAAAATTTGTTTTTCTTTCTAGGCATTCATTTTTATTTAATGTTAATATTAATGTAGGCAGAGTAATATTAAGGAGATATGGCCTCTGAAACACAAAATTAGGCAAAAATCTGAAAAATTATATTATATTGAAAAGAAATATAATTTACGAATCTGCTGGGACCTCTAGAAATGTAACATTTGCTAATTTAGAGACCTGTATGTATACTGTAGAAGGACTGTATTAGACACTATGCTCCTATATTCCATTCTTATGGAACACATCATTGTTTTAAGTGGGGATTACCTGTACAATGATTTTACAGATATTTTATATGTATATTGTTTCTATTGATAACTGGAGAATTTTGGAGATATAATTCTTCAAGTTAGAACAGTTGTGATCACTACATCTCAAGTTAGATAAAACAAAAATTAATATTTCACTTATCTTCCCATTTCATATAATTTTTCTTTTATATCTGAATATCAATTGTAGTTTAAAATAATGATATTTAGAATTATCAGACCTTTGGTGATCTCAGTATTGCTTTTTCATTTTGCCCTCAGGGACTCTACCCAGAAAGTCATGGAATTATTGGAAATGAAATGTATGATGCTAAGACCAACAGAACTTTCAACGCTATGGACCGTGATTACTATGACCCAGTATGGTGGAAAGGTGATCCTATATGGAACACTGTTGCAAAACAGGTAAAATAAAAATGATGGATACATTTAAAACAAGATTTTACTACTTTTTTGCCTACATTCTTGTAAGATTTTTGTTGAGGGAACTCAGTTGTTGAGAGAACTCAGTTGTTCCCATCAGAAAGTCCTCGTATTTGTGATTTTTTTCAACACACTGGCTATACCCCACCGAGGCAGGGTGGCCCAAAAAGAAAAACAAGTTTCTCTTTTTAACTTTAGTAATGTATACAGGAGAAGGAGTTACTAGCCTCTTGCTCCTGGCATTTTAGTTGCCTCTTATGACACGTATGGCTTATGGAGGAAGTACAGTGGACCCTCGACCAGCGATGGCATCGATTAACGATAAATCCGACCAGCGATACATTTTAACGCAAAAATTTTGCCTCGACTAGCACTAAAAAACTCGACCAACGCTATTCGTTCTGTCTGAGATGCGTCCACTTCTGGCCAGTGTTTACAAGCCAGCCAGCCACCGCGGTCACTTCTAAGCATACAATCGGAACATTTCATATTATCACAGCCTTTTTAGTGATTGCACCTGCAAAATAAGTCACCATGGGCCCCAAGAAAGCTTCTAGTGCCAACCCTACAGCAAAAAGGGTGAGAATTACTATGGATATGAAGAAAGAGATCATTGCTAAGTATGAAAGTGGAGTGCGTGTGTCTGAGCTGGCCAGGTTGTACACAAAACCCAAATCAACCATCGCTACTATTGTGGCCAAGAAAACGGCAATCAAGGAAGCTGTTCTTGCCAAAGGTGCAACTATGTTTTCGAAACTGAGATCGCAAGTGATAGAAGATGTTGAGAGACTGTTATTGGTGTGGATAAACAAAAAACAGATAGCAGGAAATAGCATCTCTCAAGAGATCTTATGTGAAAAGGCTAGGAAGTTGCATGAGGATTTAATTAGAAAAATGCCAGCAACTAGTGGTGATGTGAGTTTAAGGCCAGCAAAGGTTGGTTTGAGAGATTTAAGAATCGTAGTGGCATACATAGTGTGATAAGGCATGGTGAGGCTGCCAGTTTGGACCAAAAAGCAGCTGAAAAATATGTGCAGGAATTCAAGGAGTACATAGACAGTGAAGAATTGAAACCTGAACAAGTGTTTAATTGTGACACTGACAATGTTGTGAAACACTTTAGGAATGTCATAAAGGAACGGGAGGTACAGGCCTCTATGGACAGATATGTTGTGCGACAGAGGTCCAGTGACTCTCAAGCTGGTCCTATTGGGATTAAAAGAAGAAGGGAAGTAACCCTGAGAAAGGACTTGCCACCTCAAGTCCTAATGGAAGGGGATTCCCCTTCTAAACACTAAGAAGATCAACACTCTTCCCTCCTCCCATCCCATCAATCATCACCAGATCTTCAATAAAGGTAAGTGTCATGTAACTGTGCATGTCTTCTTCAGTTTGTGTGTATTAAAATTAATATTTCATGTGGTAAAATTTTTTTTTTCAATACTTTGGGGTGTCTTGCACGGATTAATTTGATTTCCATTATTTCTTATGGGGAAAATTAACTTGACTAACGATTATTTTGATTAACGATGAGCTCTCAGGAACGGATTAATATTGCTGGTTGAGGGTCCACTGTATTCTGTTCCACCTCCCCATGAAGATAGGCATAAATAAACAAGAACAAAAACTAGTAAGAAAATAGAAGAAAACCCTGTAAAAGTAGGTCTTAGACAGGGATGTGTAATGTCACCATGGTTGTTTAATATATTTATAGATAGGGTTGTAAAAGAAGTAAATGCTAGGGTGTTCGTGAGAAGGGTGGGATTAAATTATGGGGAATCAGATACAAAATGGGAAGCGACACAGTTACATTTTGCCGATGATACTGTGCTTATGGGTGATTCTAAAGAAGAATTGCAGAGGTTAGTGGACGAATTTGGGAGTGTGTGTGAAGGTAGAAAGTTGAAAGTGAGCATAGAAAAGGGTAAGGTGATGAGGGTATCAAATGATTTACATAAAGAAAAATTGGATATCAAATTGGGGAGGAGTATGGAAGAAGTGAATGTTTTCAGATATTTGGGAGTTGATATGTCAGCGGATGGATTTATGAAGGATGAGGTTAATCATAGAATTGAGGGGGGGAAAAAGGTGAGTGGTGCGTTGAGGTATATGTGGAGACAAAAAACATTATCTGTGGAGGCAAAGAAGGGAATGTATGAAAGTATAGTGGTACCAACACTCTTATATGGGTGTGAAGCTTGGGTTGTAAATGCTGCAGTGAGGAGGCGGTTGGAGGTAGTGGAGATGTCCTGTCTAAGGGCAATGTGTGGTGTAAACATCATGCAGAAAATTTGGAGTGTGGAAATTAGGAGAAGGGAAGGTGTGGAGTTAATAAAAGTATTAGTCAGAGGGCTGAAGAGGGGTTGTTGAGGTGGTTTGATCATTTAGAGAGAATGCATCAAAGTAGAATGACATGGAGAGCGTATAAATCTGTAGGGAAAGGAAGGCGGGGTAGGGGTCGTCCTCGAAAGGGTTGGAGGGAGGGGGTAAAGGAGGTTTTGTGGGCGAGGGGCTTGGACTTCCAGCAAGCGTGCGTGAGCATGTTAGATAGGAGTGAATGGAGACAAATGGTATTTGGGACCTGACGAGCTGTTGGAGTGTTAGCAGGGTAATATTTAGTGAAGGGATTCAGTGAAACCCGTTATTTTATATAGCCGGACTTGAGTCCTGGAAATGGGAAGTACAATGCCTGCACTTTAAAGGAGGGGTTTGGGATATTGGCAGTTTGGAGAGATATGTTGTGTATCTTTATACGTATATACTTCTAAACTGTTGTATTCTGAGCACCTCTGCAAAAACAGTGATTATGGGTGAGTGAGGTGAAAGTGTTGAATGATGATGAAAATATTTTCTTTTTGGGGATTTTCTTTTTGGGTCACCCTGCCTTGGCGGGAGATGGCCGACTTGTTAAAAATATATTTTTTTTTTTTTTTTTTTTTTTTTTTTTCAACAAGTCGGCCGTCTCCCACCGAGGCAGGGTGACCCAAAAAAGAAAGAAAATCCCCAAAAAGAAAATACTTTCATCATCATTCAACACTTTCACCACACTCGCACATTATCACTGTTTTTGCAGAGGTGCTCAGAATACAACAGTCTAGAAGCATAAACATATAAAGATACACAACATATCCCTCCAAACTGCCAATATCCCAAACCCTCCTTTAAAGTGCATATATATATATATATATATATATATATATATATATATATATATATAAATATATATATATAAATATATATATATATAAATATATATATATATATATATATATATATATATATATATAGGTAATAGGTTGATAGACAGCAACCACCCAGGGAGGTACTACCGTCCTGCCAAGTGAGTATAAAACGAAAGCCTGTAATTGTTTTACATGAAGGTAGGATTGCTTGTGTCTTTTTTTCTGACTCATGAACATGCAAGATTTCAGGTACGTCTTGCTATTTCTACTTACACTTAGGACACATTACACATACATGTACAAGCATATATATATACACACCCCTCTGGGTTTTCTTCTTTTTTCTTTCTAGTTCTTATTCTTGTTTATTTCCTCTTATCTCCATGGGGAAGTGGAACGGAATTCTTCCTCCGTAAGCCATGCATGTTGTAAGAGGCGACTAAAATGCTGGGAGCAAGGGGCTAGTAACCTCTTCTCCTGTATATATTACTAAATGTAAAAGGAGAAACTTTCATTTTTCCTTTTGGGCCACCCCGTCTCATTGGGATACAGCTGGTGTGTTGAAAGAAAGAAAGAAATATATATATATGCTTGTACATAGATATGTAGTGTGACCTAAGTGTAAGTAGAAGTAGCAAGACATACCTGATATCTTGCATGTTTACAAGACAGAAAAAACACCAGCAATCCTACCATCATGTAAAACAATTACAGGCTTTACGGTAGTATCTTCTTAGGCGGTTGCTGTCTACCAACCTACTACCTAGAACCAGGCGAGATATTTAGGTAAATCTTCCTTTACACTGCTGTACTTGTTCACCTAAATGTAAAATAGGTACAGTATATGGGTGTAAGTCAATAACTGCTATGGGTTGCATCCTGGGGAAGGGATTGTTTATATACATTACAGAGGGCTGGACTGTGGAATGAACTTAGAGAGGATAACAGTTCTTAAACTGTATAATCAGTAGTGTAAAAAAATGGGTACAGGGCCTGTGCTGTGTAGTGGTGGAGATTTGTTGTAGGTTTTGAACTGTAGTGTAGACACACCTCTGGCAAGACAGTGATGGAATGAGTGATGATGAAAGTGTTTCTTCTTTTTCGAGTCCCCCTACCTTGGTGGGAAATGGCCGATGTGTTAATAATAAAACATATTACCTTTTATTTACTTTGATATTACAGGGCAAAAAAGCTGCAATTTATTCATGGGCTGGTTCAGATGTCTTCATAGAGCAGAGATATCCTGTCTACTGGAAGAAATATCGTGCTAATGAGACATTTGACATTCGAATCAGACAGGTGTGTATATGTGGTATGTATAATAAATTTCTTGTTGAAAAACAAGTAACTGAGATTTTAGACAGTTTACTGTGTGTATTGTTATGATTGTTACACCATTCAAAGCTGTTGACCATTGGGCTCATGAAGCTCCTGGTGAATGAGGTAATCAGGCTTGATCCAAGGGAATGATAGCTCCAATTCCTTGGACATCAAGACACCCCCTTCAAAGAGTTTACTGCACATAGCTTGTCTGACGACTTATACAGTTCATAATCTCCCTGTCCCTCTGTTCTGTTTGTTAAGGTAGCTCTTGTGTCATGAGTTATGTGAGTGACACCATATATCCTCATAATGATGATGTAGTAAGGTTATAAAATCTCACTGACTCAGCAGAGGTGAGATGTGATACATGTACAGGAGGACCCCTTTCATACAGCTCTGAATGTAGCGATAGTGGTGGAGCAGCGGTAAAAACACCAAGCATAATGATCTATGGCTCAATTGATAGCCAACAAAAATGTGGAACACCAAAGCTAGGTAATGTACACTACATATACAGCATTTATTTTCAGTGTTCCATGTTTTTGTTGGCTTTCAATTTAGCCATTGTTCATTATCTTCAGTGCTTTTACCACTGTGCCACTGTTATCACCATTTTCGTACAACAGTTGCATAAGGGAAGGACAACCAGAGCCATATTTAGAGCTGTATGAACTGGGTCCTCCTGTACTAAGGTTTTGCTACTAGAATTTAAACGCACACTGACGTTAAATGTTGCTAGTTCAGACCTCTGGCTGATTCAGTCATTATTGATGCTGTTTACTCAGAATGTCAGTATTTGTTTGCCATGTTAGCTTGTTGGTTTCTGAAGTGTTTGAAAACATTACGAGCCAAGTCTTCGGCGCTCTCTTCTTTCAATGGGGTTTGCCTTCATGCTGGCAGAGGAGTCTAGATCTAAAGAATTAGAACTACTCTACCTCTTTCTTGGATCAAACTTGATTACCTCTTATTTTCCTGGTATTGTATAATCCCTATGGGTTTGGTGTTTACCCATGAGTGTAATGAGTACGTCCTGTTTCCCAAAGCACTGTATGACCCCTGTGGGCTTAGTGTTTGCTGTCAAATACAGTGATACCTTGGTATACATCCTTAATTCACTCCAGGACCTTGGACTTATACCAAACAGGACATATACCAAATGAATTTTCCCATAAGAAATATAGGGAAAACAATTAATCTGTTCCCATGAAAAAAAATCCTATTGTTATTGGCATATTATACTTTGATGGGGTTGTATAAAATAATATAAACACTGCTTAATACTAAAATATGTAATTTAAACACTGCTTAATACTAAAATACATACATAAATACAAAAGAATTTGATGAAATAAATTCAAATTTAACTTCACTTTACTTTGCTGAAAAGAGTCAAATCCCTACTAGGATAGTGCTGAGAAGGGAGGAGGAGGAAATGTTATTGTTTGTAAGGAGAGTCCTCTTCTCTTTTCTGTCTCTTTTCCCTGTTTGTTCTCGGCATATGGTATGCAGCAGCCAAGTCCCAGATACGCATGCCACCTTCATACTTTTCAACACTCTCTTTTTTCACCTCCATGGTGATCCTAACCATTTTTTCATTGCTTGGCTCTTCTCATTAACTTTCTTAGAACTCATGCTTAATGAATTTACTAAAAATTTATACAAAAAAAAAAATCATGTGAAAATTCACAGAGTTACAGTGTGGGTTGTTCACTGAATAGTAGCAATGGGCATACTGACGCTAGTGGGCAGTCGTGGCTTTGTCTCAAGAGAGAGGTAAACAAGGGTAGCACGCGGTGTTGTGACTCACTTTGATTTATACAAGTTCTAGCACGCGAGTCGTATTCCAAACAAAGGTCGTATACCAAGCAAAATTTTTTGCGGCCAAACAGGACGTATACCAAGCTGGACTTATTCCAAAGTGGACGTATACCGAGGTACCACTGTATGTTAATAATAATAATAATAATAGTGCATACCTCATAATAAAGTCAGCTTTTTTTCTTTTTCTTAGTTTTGAGCATAGTACTTTTTACCAAGGACGTTCAGTATAAATAATTTAGAAATATTATTGTATCATTTACATTTCTATAAAAATTCAGTTGACATTCAAAAGAGGCATTATTGTGTTGTGCATCATTGTTTACCATACCTACTGCTGAGTGTTGTGTGAATGGTACGTATGTACATATGTAGCCTTGATTTATTGGACCTATAGGGGTGTGTGGGTGGGTAGTAATGGTGATTGCAGTGGATAAAGATGATATTGTTTTGTTGTGATCAGAATGATAATGGAAAAGTTCTGTAACCAACGGATTTTGACCCTTTTTTCCAAATTGGTTGATCCAGAGGGTTTTATATTCACAATTCCGAAGTGTGTTTAACAGAGGTAAATTAAATCGATGGTTTACTCTGTGATGTTTTATTTCATAGACTACAAAATGATCTTTTGGTCCTAACATTCTGTAAATTTTAAAACTGATCTTTCCTTGATCATACATTCTTGATTTTATTTTCATTTTAGCATTGATTCCTAAGGTTGTATATGTAATTAATAATCCTTGGCATCATTTAGATAACTCATAAGATTCTTCTATTTGATTAAGCTTCAGCTTGGATGTTTTCTGCAGGTGTCAGACTGGTTTATGCTACCAAAGCAAGAGCGACCCCATCTCGTCATGGTGTACTTCGAGCAACCAATGTTAACTATTCAGGAATTTGGACCAGATTCGAAAGAGGTTTGTTTTGTTATGTGGGCTTTAGTGCTTGGTTATGATTATAATAATAATACTTGTTTTGTTTCTTGTTTTCTTTTTAGTAGACTATAAGGGAAAAGGGTTACTAGCCCTTTGCTCCTGGCATTTTAGTTGACTTTTACAATACGCATGGCTTACGGAGGAAAGATTCTTATTCCTCTTCCTCATGGATATGGAAGGAAAAATAATAAGAACAAGGAATTTTTTTTTTTTTTTTTTTCAACAAGTCGGCCGTCTCCCAACGAGGCAGGGTGACCCAAAAAAGAAAGAAAATCCCCAAAAAGAAAATACTTTCATCATCATTCAACACTTTCACCACACTCGCACATTATCACTGTTTTTGCAGAGGTGCTCAGAATACAACAGTTTAGAAGCATACACATATAAAGATACACAACATATCCCTCCAAACTGCCAATATCCCAAACCCCTCCTTTAAAGTGCAGGCATTGTACTTCCCATTTCCAGGACTCAAGTCCGACTATATGAAAATAACCGGTTTCCCTGAATCCCTTCACTAAATATTACCCTGCTCACACTCCAACAGATCGTCAGGTCCCAAGTACCATTCGTCTCCATTCACTCCTATCTAACACGCTCACGCACGCTTGCTGGAAGTCCAAGCCCCTTGCCCACAAAACCTCCTTTACCCCCTCTCTCCAACCCATTCGAGGACGACCCCTACCCCGCCTTCCTTCCCCTATAGATTTATATGCTTTCCATGTCATTCTACTTTGATCCATTCTCTCTAAATGACCAAACCACCTCAACAACCCCTCTTCTGCCCTCTGACTAATACTTTTATTAACTCCACACCTTTTCCTAATTTCCACACTCCGAATTTTCTGCATAATATTTACACCACACATTGCCCTTAAACAGGACATCTCCACTGCCTCCAACCGTCTCCTCGCTGCTGCATTTACCACCCAAGCTTCACACCCATATAAGAGTGTTGGTACTACTATACTTTCATACATTCCCTTCTTTGCCTCCATAGATAACGTTTTTTGACTCCACATATACCTCAACTCACCACTCACCTTTTTTCCCTCATCAATTCTATGATTAACCTCATCCTTCATAAATCCATCCGCCGACACGTCAACTCCCAAGTATCTGAAAACATTCACTTCTTCCATACTCCTCCTCCCCAATTTGATATCCAGTTTTTCTTTATCTAAGTCATTTGACACCCTTATCACCTTACTCTTTTCTATGTTCACTTTCAACTTTCTACCTTTACACACATTCCCAAACTCATCCACTAACCTTTGCAATTTTTCTTTAGAATCTCCCATAAGCACAGTATCATCAGCAAAAAGTAACTGTGTCAATTCCTATTTTGAATTTGATTCCCCAAAATTTAATCCCACCCCTCTCCCGAACACCCTAGCATTTACTTCCTTTACAACCCCATCTATAAATATATTAAACAACCATGGTGACATTACACATCCCTGTCTAAGACCTACTTTTACCGGGAAGTAGTCTCCCTCTCTTCTACACACCCTAACCTGAGCCTCACTGTCCTCATAAAAACTCTTTACAGCATTTAATAACTTACCACCTATTCCATATACTTGCAACATCTGCCACATTGCTCCTCTATCCACTCTATCATATGCCTTTTCTAAATCCATAAATGCAATAAAAACTTCCCTACCTTTATCTAAATACTGTTCACATATATGCTTCAATGTAAACACTTGATCTACACTTCCCCTACCCACTCTGAAACCTCCTTGCTCATCCGCAATCCTACATTCTGTCTTACCTCTAATTCTTTCAATTATAACCCTACCGTACACTTTTCCTTGTTTACTCAGTAAACTTATTTCTCTATAATTTTTACAGTCTCTTTTGTCCCCTTTCCCTTTATATAAAGGGACTATACATGCTCTCCGCCAATCCCTAGGTACCTTCCCCTCTTTCATACATTTATTAAACAAATCTACCAACCACTCCAACACTATATCCCCCCTGCTTTTAACATTTCTATCATGATCCCATCAGTTCCAGCTGCTTTACCCCCTTTCATTTTACGTAATGCCTCACGTACCTCCCCCACACTTACATTCTGCTCTTCTTCACTCCTAAAAGATGGTATACCTCCCTGACCAGTGCATGAAATTACTGCCTCTCTTTCTTCCTTAACATTTAAAAGTTCCTCAAAATATTCTCGCCATCTACCTAATACCTCCATCTCCCCATCTACTAACTCCCCTACTCTGTTTTTAACTGACAAATCCATACTTTCCCTAGGCTTTCTTAACTTGTTTAACTCACTCCAAAATTTTTTCTTATTTTCATTAAAATTTCTTGACAGTGCCTCTCTCAACTCTATCATCTGCTCTCCTTTTGCACTCTCTCACCACTCTCTTTACCTTAATGAGACAGAAAAAAGACACCAGCAGTCCATCTTCTTTCAACGCACTGGCTGTATCCCACCGAGGCAAGGTGGCCCAAAAAGAAAAACAAAAGTTTCTCTTTTTAACTTTAGTAATGTATACAGGAGAAGAGGTTACTAGCACCTTGCTTCCGGCATTTCAGTCGCCTCTTACGACACGTATGGCTTATGGAGGAAGAATTCTGTTCCGCTTTCCCATGGAGATAAGAGGAAATAAACATGAAGAAGAACCAGTAAGAAAATAGAAGAAAACCTAGAGGGGTGTGTATTATACTTGTACATACATGTGTAGTGTGACCTAAGTGTAAGTAGAAGTAGCTAGATGTACCTGAAATCTTGTATGTTTATGAGACAGAAAAAAGACACCAGCAATCCTACCAACATGTAAAACAAATACAGGCTTTCATTTTACACTCGCTCGACAGTATGGTAGTACCTCCCTGAAGAGGGGCTGTTGAGGTGGTTTGGTCATTTAGAGAGAATGGAACAAAGTACAATGACTTGGAGGGCATATAAATCTATTGGGGGGAAGGAAAGTGGGGTAAGGGTCATCCCTGGAAAGGTTGGAGGGAGGGGGCAAAGGAGGTTTTGTGGGCGAGGGGCTTGGTCTTCCAGCAAGCGTGCGTGAGCATGTTAGATAGGAGTGAATGGAGATGAATGGTTTTTGGGACCTGACGAGCTGTTGGAGTGTGAGCAGGGTAATGTATTGTGAAGGGATTCAGGGAAACTGGTTAGCCGAACTTGAGTTCTGGAAATGGGAAGTACAATGCCTGCACTTTAAAGGAGGGCTTTAGGATATTTGCAGCTTGGAGGGATGTTTAAACTGTCATATCTGAGCGCCTCTGCAAAAACAGTGATTATGTATGAGTGATGGTGAAAGTATTGAATGATGAAAGTTTTTTTCGTTCTTTTTTGGTCACCCTGCCATGGTGGGAAATGGCCAACTTGTTAAAAAACAAATTGTTTTATTATAACATTTGAAGAGTGAAGACTGATGATGTAGAGGTCTTATGCTTTACAATTGTAAGTAAGCAAAGAGAAACATTTGTAGTACTTAATGAATATTGATCAGTATGTGAGAACACATTACAATGAAGAATATAGACATAATGTTATAATTTCTGTATTGGAGAGAGAGGTTTGTGAATAAATGTTGTGACCTGAAAGAGCTTATTCCTTTGGTGAAACATTGTCAGTAAAACATTGCAATATACTGCTTTTGTTTCTGTTTCCATCTTATCAGTACTTTGTCATTTTCCTCCATTTTTCTTTGTGTTGATGCTTCATTATGTCAGCTTTTGTGAAGAAAAGACAATAGTTGCAGAATTAGTTTTTATTCAGACAGTATTTTACTGTGTGTAGGGCTCTATAAAGTCATATAAAATATAAAAAGCTCTACAGATAGCTAGATATAGTCCTAATAAAGGCTTATTTTGTAACTTGTCTTTTCTTCACTATTGATGGCAGTACACCATCTGGATCTAACATATCAGCTATTACTTACAAGGGGTTGTGAGCAGAGGGAAGGTTGCAACTCTTGAGTGCTGACAGGCAGTAATTTGACTATGCGGAATTGGTTACCCTGCCTTAAATAACCTTATTTAAAATTATCTCATAACCATTATGTCTCAACCTTTCTCTTCAGATGTTGTCTGAGGTATCAACCATTTATACCATCTTTAATGATCCCTGAACAATTTTATATTTACTAATTTTTTATTTCTAGGCAAGGAATGCTTTGGAAAGAGTAGACCGAGCATTGGATAGCCTGATGATCACCCTTCATCGTCAAAAGCTGGCTCACTGTATCAACATTCTTCTGGTGTCTGACCATGGTGCTGCTCCAGCATCCTGCACCTCCTCCTTTTACCTCGAGACATTTATCACCGACATTGAAGAAAAGGCACGTGTATTTACTGGTGCAGTGGGCAGGTTACGAGTTCTCACAGGTGGTGATGGTGAGTTTCAAGGACAGTAAATTACTTTTCATGGCATGAAAATTCATATTTGGAAAAAGGTAGTGACAAACATATTTTTAGGCAATTTTTTATGACTGTTTAAGCATTACTTTGTGGTATCAGTATGTCATAGTCATGCATATATGAGATATAAAATAATAGTAAAAAATTATATAAAAAACAATTTGGTTTATTGTGAAAAGGTTCTGCACCCTATTTTGAATTTGAGACAACCCAGAATATTACACGAGGTCAGTGAAAAAAATATATAGATTACTGTATATAGAGTCTTTTATCACTGCAAAAAAGTTGAAAAAAAAAAATGCATAAAATTAGCTCCAGGGTCCACAGGATGGGTATGGAGGAGACATAAAGATATTAAACTAACTATTGCTGCATATTAATCACAAGCGTCATTATTATATATTTGATGTAAACCTGAATTGACATTCTGAAGTTACTTCACAAATGAAAAAGTAAATCCTCATAGAGAAATGCAGTAATTGTAATTGGTTGGGGATTTCAATGCTAAAGTGGGTAAAAATGTTGTGGAGGGAGTAGTAGGTAAATTTGGGGTGCCAGGGGTAAATGAAAATGGGGAGCCTTTAATTGAGGTATGTGTAGAAAGAGGTTTGGTAATCAGTAATACATATTTTATGAAAAACAGGATAAATAAATATACAAGGTATGATATAGCATGTAATGAAAGTAGTTTGTTAGATTATGTATTGGTGGATAAAAGGTTGATGGGTAGGCTCCAGGATGTACACGTTTATAGAGGGGCAACTGATATATCGGATCATTATTTAGTTAGAGTAAGTTAGAGTAAGAGGTAGATGGGACAAGAGGAAAATGGCAACAACAAGTAATAGGGAGGTGAAAGTGTATAAACTAAGGGAGGAGGAAGTTTGGGTGAGATATAAGCAACTATTGGCAGAAAGGTGGGCTGGGGCAAGTATGAGTAGTGGGGGGTTTGAAGAGGGTTGGAATAGTTTTAAAAATGCAGTATATGGGGCAGAAGTTTGTGGTTATAGGAGGGTGGGTGCAGGAGGAAAGAGGAGTGATTGGTGGATTGATAAGGTAAAGGGTGTGATAAAAGAGAAAAAGTTAGCTTATGAGAGGTTTTTACAAAGCAGAAGTGTTATAATAAGAGTAGAGTATATGGAGAGTAAAAGAAAGGTGAAGAGAGTGGTAAGAGAGTGCAAAAGGAGAGCAGATGATAAAGTGGGAGAGGCACTGTCAAGAAAAAATTTTAGAGTTAAACAAGTTAAGAAAGCCTAGGGAACGAATGGATTTGTCAGTTAAAAACAGAGTAGGGGAGTTAGTAGATGGGGAGATGGAGGTTTGGGTAGATGGCGAGAATATTTTGAGGAACTTTTAAATGTCAACAAAGAAAGGGAGGCGGTAATTTCATGCACTGGCCAGGGAGGTATACCATCTTTTAGGAGTGAAGAAGAGCAGGATGTGAGTATGGGGGAGGTGCGTGAGACATTACGTAGAATGAAAGGGGGTAAAGCAGCTGGAACTGACGGGATCATGATAGAAATGTTAAAAGCAGGGGGGATACAGTGTTGGAGTGGTTGGTATTTTTGTTTAATAAATGTATGAAAGAGGGGAAGGTACCTAGGGATTGGCAGAGAGCATATATAGTTCCTTTATATAAAGGGAAAGGGGACAAAAGAGATTGTAAAAATTATAGAAGAATAAGTTTACTGAGTATACCAGGAAAAGTGTACAGTAGGGTAATTATTGAAATAATTAGAGGTAAGACAGAATGTAGGATTGCGGATGAGTAAGGAGGTTTTAGAGTGGGTAGTGGATGTATAGATCAAGTGTTTACATTGAAACATATATGTGAACAGTATTTAGATAAAGGTAGGGAAGTTTTTATTGCATTTATGGATTTAGAAAAGGCATATGATAGAGTGGATAGGGAAGCAATGTGGCAGATGTTGCAAGTATATGGAATAGGTGGTAAGTTACTAAATGCTGTAAAGAGTTTTTAGGAGGATAGTGAGGCTCAGGTTAGGGTGTGTAGAAGAGAGGAAGACTACTTCCCGGTAAAAGTAGGTCTTAGACAGGGATGTGTAATGTCACCATGGTTGTTTAATATATTCATAGATGGGGTTGTAAAAGAAGTAAATGATAGGTTGTTCGGGAGAGGGGTGAGATTAAATTATGGGGAATCAAATTCAAAATAGGAATTGACACAGTTACTTTTTGCTGATGGTACTACTGTGCTTATGGAAGATTCTAAAGAAAAATTGCAAAGGTTAGTGGACGAGCTTGGGAGTTTGTGTAAAGGTAGAAAGTTGAAAGTGAACACAGAAAAGAGTAAGGTGATGAAGGTATCAAATGATTTAGATAAAGAAAAATTGGTTATCAAATTGGGGAGGAGGAGTATGGAAGAAGTGAATGTTTTCCGATATTTGGGAGTTGACATGTCAACGGATGGATTTATGAAGGATGAGGTTAATCATAGAATTGATGAAGGAAAAAAGGCGAGTGGTGTGTTGAGGTATATGTGGAGACAAAAAACGTTATCTATGGAGGCAAAGAAGGGAATGTATGAAAGTATAGTAGTACCAACACTACTATATGGGTGTGAAGCTTGGGTTGTAAATGCTGCAGCAAGGAGGCAGTTGGAGGCAGTGGAGATGTCCTGTCTAAGGGCAATGTGTGGTGTAAATATCATGCAGAAAATTCGGAGTGTGGAAATTAGGATGTGTGGAGTTAATAAAAGTATTAGTCAGAGGGCTGAAGAGGGTTTGTTGAGGTGGTTTGGTCATTTAGAGAGAATGCATCAAAGCAGAATGACATGGAGAGCGTGTAAATCTGTAGGGGAAGGAAGGCAGGGTAAGGGTCATACTCAAAAAGGTTGGAGGGAGGGGGGGTAAAGGAGGTTTTGTGTGCGAGGGGCTTGGACTTCCAGCAAGTGTGCGTGAGTGTGTTAGATAGGAGTGGATGGAAACGAATGGTATTTGGGACCTGACGATCTGTTGGAGTGTGAGCAGGGTAATATTTAGTGAAGGGATTCAGGGAAACCGGTTATTTTTATATAGCCGGACTTGAGCCCTGGAAATGGGAAGTGCAATGCCTGCACTGTAAAGGAGGGGTTTGGGATATTGGCAGTTTGGAGGGATATGTTGTGTATCTTTATATGTATATGCTTTTAAACTGTTGTGTTCTGAGCACCTCTGCAAAAACATGTGTGAGTGAGGTGAAAGTGTTGAATGATGATGAAAGTATTTTCTTTTTGGGGATTTTCTTTCTTTTTTGGGTCACCCTGCCTCAGTTGGAGATGGCAGTCTTGTTAAAAAAAAAAAAAAACGTGCATACATACATACATGCATACACACATACATACATACATACATGCAATAAGATCACAGTAAACAGGTGATTTCAGAATATGCAAAACAACCACTCTGAAAGAATAAGAAATTCCAAGCGCTTTTGTGACTACTCACATTATCAAGGAACTATGGTTCCTTGATAATGTGAGTAGTCACAAAAGTGCTTGGAATTTCTTATTCTTTCAGAGTGGTTGTTTTGCACATACATACATACATACATACATACATACATACATACATACATACATACATACATACAGTATACAACAAAGTTTAACACTTTTATGGGTTACTCCACAGCAGCCGAGAAGGAGATTCTGAAGTCTCTTGGATGCAAGAACTCCAAAGTAAGAGCTCTTCCCAAGAAGCTGCTCCCACGCAGGTAAGTAGTCCTGTTTTTTATTATATTGATCGAAGTGGGAAGTACTCTAAAGGAGGAGTTTGAAATAGTTGCTGTTTGGAGTGACATCTAAACTGTCATATCTGTACACCTCTGGAAAGATAGTGATAGTAAGATAAGATAAAATTTCGTTCGGATTTTTAACCCCGGAGGGTTAGCCACCCAGGATAACCCAAGAAAGTCAGTGCGTCATCGAGGACTGTCTAACTTATTTCCATTGGGGTCCTTAATCTTGTCCCCCAGGATGTGACCCACACCAGTCGACTAACACCCAGGTACCTATTTGCTGCTAGGTGAACAGGACAATAGGTGTAAGGAAACGTGTCGAAATGTTTCCACCCACCGGGAATCGAACCCGGGCCCTCCGTGTGTGAAGCGGGAGCTTTAGCCACCAGGCCACCGGGCCTGGTAAAAGTGTTTCTTTTTTGGGACATCCTGTCTTAGTGGGAGAGAGCCCAGCATATTAAAAAAAAAAAAGTACAAAACTGACAAGGTGATGAATAAGACACACATACAATACTTCAATATTCTTAATTAAAGATTCTCGAGCTTTTTTTTTTTTTTGAACCACAGTATGGATGGAGTAAATTATTTGCTAATTAGTAATGATTATTTTCAAATTTCATTTCTTAGTGGGATGGATTAATAAAAATATGTATTTGCATGCCTCTATCAAGACAGTGATGGAGTGATTGATGGTGAAAGTGTTTCTTCTTCGAATCACCCTGCCTCAGTGGAAATGGCCAATGTGTTAAAAAATTAGTTTTGTACTGTGGAACCTCTACTTACGAGTGCCCCAGCATGCAAGTTTTTCTAGACACTAGCAGTCGCTCGGTCGATTTTTTACTTCCAGATGCAAGCGAAATTTCAAGATGCGAGCAGGCCTCAAGGGAAGTTCCTTGACGCTCGTGAGGGGCTCTTGCTCTTGATCTGGGGAATTGGATCTCAATTGTTTGTTGGACTATCTTATTGAAACTTGGGCAATGTATGATGAAGAGATGCTTCTTAACGTACACCAAAATTGAAAGAAATCGAACCTTAAATAATGAAGTTAGCTTCTCAGCCATTAGCTTCCCCTTAGCGGTATATTTTCGTGTGGTTTTTATGGTTGCATTCTCATTCTTTTGGTCTCATTTGATAGAATGGAAGATATATTACAGAAATAGATATGAATTTGATTGCTTTCACAACAAAAAGTACCTTAAAATTGAGCTCAAGGTAGCAGAAATGTTTGATTCTTTGGCGACGTTCAAGAGTAAACAAATGACGTCACCATCCAATACGTGTCCACCTGGCCAGTCTCATATGCAGTCATAAATGGGTTGACATTGTTTATACAATTATTACAATAATACAGTAGTCTGCATAACATTAAATCTTCTATTTTTTGTGTGAATAAAAATTCCAAATGGTAAACAAGAGTTTTATTATAAGAATACAACAATGATGCCAAGAATGCGATCAAACACAGCAGTGATGCCAAGAGAAGGATCCCACACAATAGTGATGTCAAGACTGGGATCAAACACAGCAGTGATGCCATGACCAGGATCCTACACAACAGTGATGTCAAGACCAGGATCAAACACAGCAGTGATGCCATGACTAGGATCCTACACAGCAGTGATCCCATGACCAGGATACCACACAGCAGTGATGCTAAAACCTGGATCCCATATACAGCAGTGATGCCATGACCAGGATCCCACACAGCACTGATGCCATGACCAGGATCCTATGCAGCAGTGATTCCATGACTAGGATCCCACACACCAGTGATGCCAAGACCAGCATCCCACACACAGCAGTGATGCCAAGACCAGGATCCCACATAACATTGATGCCATTACCAGGACCCTACACAACAGTGATGCCAAGACCAAGATACCATACAGCAGTGATGCCAAGACCAGGGCCCTACACAGCAGTGATGCCAAGACAAGGATTCCACACACACCACTGATATCAAGACCAGGATCCAACACATCAGTGATGCCATGACCAGGATCCTAAACAGCAGTGATGCCAAAACAAGGATCCTACACAGCAGTGTTGCTGTAACCTGGATCCCATACACAGCAGTGATCCATGACCAAGATCCCACACACAGCAGTGATGTCATGACCAGGAGCCCACACACAGCAGTGATGCCATGACCAGGATCCCCCACACAGCAGTGATGCCATGACCAAGATTGCACACACAGCAGTGATACCATAACCTGGATCCCACACATGACAGTGATGCCATATTAGGGAAATATTGAAGTATTTTGCCGTGCCTGGAATTTCACTGGAACGGATTAATTCCATTTCAGTTAATTTAAATGAGGAAAATTGACTCAACAAACGAGCAAATTGAGATGCGAGCAAGGTCACGGAACGGATTAAACTCGTAAGTAGAGGTTCCACTGTATTTTTTAGACCATGGTATAAAACATGATTTTTATGTTGTGTCTTATTTATATACAGAGTGAGTTTATCATCATACTGTTCTTCCACACTCTGTAAACAACTGCCTTTAGCCTAAAGTTTAGATATTTTAGATTTTTATTGTCTTTCTGCCATGGGTCAGTCATTTCAGGTTTACTTTTTTTTTAAACACTTCTCGGTATCGTACTGATCTTGTTAACAGATGTCAGCATAAATGTCAAATCCATGGCTGTTACAACCTAGTGACTCATTGATATAAAGAATGAAAAGTCACAATACTCTGACCAGAACAGCGCACAAATAACCTGCACATAGGAGACTGAAATTTACGATGACATTTTGGTCCGACTTGAGCCATTAACTAGTCACACAGAGGACCCCTCGTAAGTTTCGGTCTCCTGTGTGCGGGTTATTTGTGTACGACACATTTATATACTATGCAAGGGTAATGTTTACATTAATGTGCAGTGCTGTACTGTATAGGATATTTAATGTGCATTAGCAGCATTACAGTAGTAAACCATCTCATAATTGGGGGTCACTTTCCTAAAAGTTTATGTGTAAGTTACCATAGCGTTATATGAAGTGAAGAACATATTGGACAATAGGTTATGTTCCAGACACCTCTAAATTTACCAACCATTTTTTTTTTTACAATCAAACTAGTTACAAATTACTTCTGTATAACTTACCTTACATTCTTGTGTCATCTAGTTTTTCGACTTGAAGACTGTGGAAAGGGCTGTGATTCTTGTGTTGATGTGGATATTCATGTATACTTGTCAGTAGGAAAGGAAGTGGTTATATTGGAGTACTCAAGTATTCTGTAATGCATCTCTGGTATGTTTTACCCTACAGTACTTTATGGATATAACTAGGAAAATTTTATAAAGTATTATAAAGCCAGTAGTGCTTTTTAAAGCTTTCCAAAAATGCAGCATTGTTGCAGAGGCTCTACCTTTTCTTCACATAGATTCATACTTATTCTTAGCACCTCCACTATCACTAGTATTCCTCTTATGTGTTATGGTTAATATCCAGAGACCAGATAGTGATGAAAATATCCAAAATTGCTTAATAACAAGCAATTCTGAATAACAAGCTACAGTATTTTTGGATATTTTCATCACTAACTGGTCTCTGAGGTATTTGTACAGAAGGAGTCAGCCTCTCCTTAGCTGCCTAAGTCAAAAGCTGATTTTTCGTCACTGAAACAAAACGTTCTTTTGAGCATCATCTTCCAGAAGAGACCAATAACCTCAAGACTTTAGACCTGCTGTTGACTATATTCTTCATCATCTCGGATCTTCCTGAGTTAATGAGGATAATCTTGGCCTGGCTGGTGATCAGCAACTGTCAGTGTGTCCACGACCAGGTCAGGATGCAGCCTCGATCTGGTCATGGTCTGTGTGAATGCTACTGGTTTCATTACTGCTGTGTGCAAAACTACCATGCAGCAACTTTACTTTATCATATATAATTGAATTATTATAATGGGAGACTTGTGATACATGTCACCAATTTATACATTTTGTCCTTATTTCATTTTCACTTTGTTAAATGTAATGGACAGTTTAAAGCACTTTAGAACCATCATGATGACTGGTTGCCACACTGTATCTAATCTTTTCCTCGTTTTTCTCAATGCAGTGCACTGTTATTATTATTCTATTAAGGGAAAATGCGTAACAACCTGTAGGGGTCATACAGTGCCTGTAGTGAGCTGTTAATTTATTACCACCATGTTATCTTCTAAATAATATAGCTGTGTCTCCACAAGAAAGCATGTCCAATAATTTAATTTTCATCACACTTTATCTCTTAACCACTGACTCATCTTCCTCATTTCTTTTACATATAGGAGCCCTGATGCACATATTTTTTTTTTTTTTTCAACAAGTCGGCCGTCTCCCACTGAGGCAGGGTGACCCAAAAAAGAAAATACTTTCATCATCATTCAACACTTTCACCACACTCACACATTATCACTGTTTTTGCAGAGGTGCTCAGAATACAACAGTTTAGAAGCATACACATATAAAGATACACAACATATCCCTCCAAACTGCCAATATCCCAAACCCCTCCTTTAAAGTGCAGGCATTGTACTTCCCATTTCCAGGACTCATGTCCGACTATATGAAAATAACCGGTTTCCCTGAATCCCTTCACTAAATATTACCCTGCTCACACTCCAACAGATCATCAGGTCCCAAGTACCATTCGTCTCCATTCACTCCTATCTAACACGCTCATGCACGCTTGCTGGAAGTCCAAGCCCCTCGCCCACAAAACCTCCTTTACCCCCTCTCTCCAACCCTTTCAAGGACCACCCCTACCTCGCCTTCCTTCCCCTATAGATTTATATGCTTTCCATGTCATTCTACTTTGATCCATTCTCTCTAAATGACCAAACCACCTCAACAACCCCTCTTCTGCCAAATGACTAATACTTTTATTAACTCCACACCTTTTCCTAATTTCCACACTCCGAATTTTCTGCATAATATTTACACCACACATTGCCCTTAGACAGGACATCTCCACTGCCTCCAACCGTCTCCTCGCTGCTGCATTTACCACCCAAGCTTCACACCCATATAAGAGTGTTGGTACTACTATACTTTCATACATTCCATTCTTTGCCTCCATAGATAAAGTTTTTTGACTCCACATATACCTCAACGCACCACTCACCTTTTTTCTCTCATCAATTCTATGATTAACCTCATCCTTCATAAATCCATCCGCCGACACGTCAACTCCCAAGTATCTGAAAACATTCACTTCTTCCATACTCCTCCTCCCCAATTTGATATCCATGCATGTACAGTACTAATATCTAAATGCAAGTAATTCTGTACACACCATAGGCTTAACAGAACTGCTGAGGACGGTGGTGCTCAAGCATATCCTTATCAACGACAACACTCACCTCACTGTCCCTAGTTTTGTCTCAATGAAAAAATGTTTAAGGACCTAACTAAACAGTGCCCGCTGATGAAGTATGGTATCTCTGAGAAAGATGTGAGTGCAGGAAGTAGGTTGACAACTGGGCTGTGTAGTTCACTGCTAGTACCTGCCCCACCACCATCACAACAGTAATGCAACATTTGGTTATCTGAGGTAAATGAGGACTTAATTAAGCATCCAGACCTTTTCCTCACTAGGAATGGTAAAAATTAGGTAGAAAATAGGCATAGCAAATTCCAACTTGATTCCCCAAATCCAGCTGGAATTTGGCAAGTAAAATTCTGCTGCATTTGGCAAGTAAAATTCTGCCAAATGAAGCATTTTACTTACCCTATCTGGCATCATTGCTATTAACCTCTCCTGCATATGCTTTGACACTACATTTTTAAATATATGCCACTTCTTTATGGTATTCTCTGCCTCACATTCTTATGCTAATTTATCTGTCTTCCTTCTTCACTTTGTCTTACATTAGCTAACTTCTTTATGGTATTCTCTGCCTCACAGTCTTATGCTAATTTATCTTTTTTCCTTCTTCACTTTCTCTTACATTAGCTAAAATTTCTTCCAACAAGTGCTCAATTTTTTATTTTTAACTCATCGGCCGTCTCCCACCGAGGCAGGGTGACCCAAAAAGGAAAGAAGCACTTTCACCATCATTCAACAGTTTCACCATCATTCACACATAATCACTCTCTTTGCAGAGGTGCGCAGATATGACAGTTTAGACGTCACTCCAAACAGCCAATATCCCAAACCCCCTCCTTTAAAGTGCAGGCATTGTACTTCCCACCTCCAGGACTCAAGTCCGGCTCACCAGTTTTCTTGAATCCCTTCATCAAAATATTACTCTGCTCACACTCCATGAGTTATATGTATTATTATACGTATATGGTACAGTTACTGTACACAGTGTTTTGTTTGGCAGTATGTTGAGCCCAAAGGCCTTGGCAATGCATATAGTTGGTGACAAGCCACATTGTGCAGCTTAGGAGTAATCTTTAATTATTTTGCCTGCCTAGTGGTTCTTTTAATGTGACACTGTATAATAATTAATTTAAAGGCATGTAGTTTTTTCAAGCCTGCTTTCAGTCCTCGTATATTATATTATTAATATGTTTACAATATATAAAGTAGCATATTAACTTCTTGGTAGAAGCCAAAAATTAACTTTTCAAAAAAGACCAGTTCTTGTCATTTTTGATGTGTTACTAAAGTAAATATCAATGGGTGTAACTTTTCATTTTTCTTACCCAATAGATATCACTATACCAATAATGCAAATATTGAGAATGTGATTCTGGATACCAAACCAGATACACGTGTAGTGACCAACTCTCAAAACTACTGCAAGAATGGTGAACATGGATTCAACAACCTTGAACCATCTATGCAGGTGGGTTTTTTTTTTTTTTTTTTTTGACAGTCTTAATGTCTAATGAGCCTTTATCCACATTCAGAGGAAAGTCATACATATGAAGCTCTTCCAACATTGCTATAATTTTCATAATTATATTTTTAAAATAAGTTTTAATAATTTACTTATTTTTTTTTATGCACTAATGTCTAATCCCTTTAAAATTTACTGTGTTGTTATGTACAACTGACATCTCACACTAATATGACATATCAAATTGAAAAGATGGGGTAGTGTTGGATTTGAATTATCATCATACAGTTGCAAGATTTGCATCTTGCACAGAGGCAAAAAGTATAATAAATTAACATTACACTAGCCACGAGTGCTGTTGGGAATGTGGTTAAACAATAGACTGGAGTTGTGGTGATCTTTCTACAGCCTTGTTCAGGCATTGTTAAGGTCCACAAGTTCTCATTTCATTTTAACATTCAGTGGTAATGTGCAGGTTTTTCAGTCTTATGGGTTGCATTAAAATCCCACACTGCACCTCCTTCAGGATATGTTCTGTTAAAGCAGGTTTATGTTTTGAGTTGTCATAAAATAATTTAATAAATATCCACTTTGGGATTACTATATGAACTACCAGTATTGAGAAACACGTAAAACAAGATTTTATTGTGTTTCACCTCTATTATGTCCCAATAAAAGTTTGCTTTCAATGTGTCTTTTTCAATATTGTATGCATTATGTCATTCAAACCTATTAACTATCAAACTTGAAGGTAGAAAACATTTATTAATTATATATTTACAGGCTACTTTCATAGGATTTGGTCCTGATTTGAAGGTGAATTATACAACTCACAGCTTCAGGAATGTTGAACTATACAATTTTATGTGTGAGTTAATCCACATTACTCCTGCAGAAAACAATGGTAAGAATATTGGTTTATATGAGCCATAATTTGAAAGTTCCTCTGTACGATGCTGAATGTAGCAAACTGCAATAGTAACCTACAGTTGACTTTTATAGTAGATTAATGAGCAATCACATTAGATTAAAGCATGACTATGTTCACTTGTATGTTTTTTCCAGTTTAGTAATATAAGTGACATTCATATTCAAGTACAGTACTTGTATTTCTCTGCCAGTTTAAAAGCAGAAGTGGCCTAATATTTTTAGACTTTTAGTTTGTCCCTTCATCCTTCTGCTAACTAGTCCACTAACATCGATAAATTCCCATCCTGACAAACTATAAAATCAGAGCTCTTAGCTTTTAAATGGAATTTTGAGATGAGGCTCGGTATTTTTATTATAATTTTAACATAATTTTTCATCACCAGTCGATGTAATATGCAGAAACATCATGCAAAAAAAGAGAAGTCTATAAATATGGAAAAAAACCTCCTTGAAGAAATTTTTTTAAATGATAATGAGCTTCAGATGTTATTAAAGTCATGTAATATCACAAATTATGGCTCTTGGTACACAGAATAGTGTATGTATATAAAATTCAGGTAGACTGCACCTGCCTATGTATATACATGCACTGTATTTTTAAATCATATAGTTAATCTCTTTGTAAGAAAATATTTTATGATTATTTGTTTCTGAATTCATAAATCAATTAATTTTGGTAAATATATGTATGATCATCTCACAGGAACTTCTGGGAGTCTGGACCACTTGCTGCGTCAGGTTCCTCATGTAGCTCCTTCGGACGTGTTACAAAAGCTCTTGCCTGAAGTTGTTAAGGCTCTACCTGAGAAAATATCACAAAATAATAAAGTAGAAGGAGAGACAGGAGAAACTGGTGCCACAGAGAAGCCATGCAAGTGTTTTCTTGACAAAACACAAGAAGTTACAGTAAGTAGCAAAGTTGTGGCATGCTGTGTATGTATAATAGCATGTTTTGAAGCCTATGTATATTTATGTAAGGGTTCCCAGGGGACCCACCTAGAATGTCATATCTCATTCACACTAATACTATTTACATTAATACTCACCTTACTGAGTCACATTTATAGCACAGCTTGTACTTGCACACATCCTCTGTCCTTCAACTCCAGTCCTGTGATCGTGCTCCTTGATGGGACTCAGTCTAAGCTTGTTTTTAATGCACATTTCTTGGCATTAATTTGCAGTATTTCAGCACAGTTTTCAGTAGTTGGCAATTGAAATGAAAGAGTTGGGGGAAGCATTAGAAACTTTTGTCTTACCCCCTTAAGCAGAAGTACATTTTTTATAGCTCAAAGCATGTTGTTCTGCAATTGGGGCTGCAGGTGTCCAGCTAGACTCTTGCTGCCATCACCTAACAGACAGAGGAAGTAGTCATTGATTGAAGTCTGAACCCATGGAGTCAGGCATAAAGAATGAGGTGACTTACTGGTCTGTTCAAAAGTATACTGGTTGATGTGTTGGAGAGAGACTCAGTACTTGGCCCTCATCAAAGCTGGCACTACAAAGCAGCAGTCTGCAGTAATGACATCCTGCAAGGGCAAAGCAGCACTGCCCTATCGCATGCACACCATGTACTAGAACAAATATGAGCAGGCAAGAAAACAGGCATAATCCCAGATGAAGATGAGGATGATCCACAAATGAGAGGGCTCAGAGATCAGTGTGACCTAGGGAAGGTTTGCCTGTCTTGGCTGCATAGGCAAGAGAACTCCAAATATTTACACTGGGAGAAGTGCCTCACTGTAACTATGGCCTAAACTATGACCAATCATTCTTGGTTATATTTTATTAATCCGAGAAGTAGGGTAAAGCTTCAGTATTTTGTGTGACAATGTATTCAAGATGGAGGGCAAGTGTAATATAGGAAAGACCTGGGAATGTGATTAATGAACAGAGGGAAGGTTGCTTTAGTGGGTGAAATGCCCACAGTGTTCATTTTGGACTCTGTTTTTAAATTATAATGTGTTGAATTATGTGTAAAATTGCCATACTACCAACTTCTGTGCCCATTATAGGGTAGTTCTTATAGATGAATAGGTAGTTTTTGTACCCAAGCAATTGAATAGAAGCCATACTAGCAAAATATTTAGAAATTTGGTTGAATTGAACAATGTAACTGGCTTAAAATTGCACTGAATTTAGGTGAAAACACTGATGTGTAAATTGATCCCAGAATGCCAACCTTGCTCCTGTATAATTTCTTAAGTTTTTCATCAGATTTTACATTTTTAATGACATTACTTTCAGAAAAAAAAAAATTATCTACCATTTCAGAAGATTTAATTAATATATTTTTTTTAAAAAATCACAACTCAGTCAGCACTTTTACTTTTGGGGGTCACGACAGTGAAAGAGTTAAAAATGAATAGTGTTTTTTTTTTTCCATTCAACTATGCCTTCTAGTTATTTTTAGCCATTGAATATAGTTGTACTCAATAATATATCCTCTGACCACATAAGATTTTACAGTTTAAGCTTATTATAACATTGAAAATTATGGGCACTATCTTTTTTCATTTCTCTTCTTTTTTTCATTGTATAGTGTTTCTATGTGCTTTTAAGCTTTCTCCCAAATTTTCTTGCTCTAATCTTTATATGGTTTTCCCTTGTATCATATATATATATATATATATATATATATATATATATATATATATATATATATATATATATATATATATATATATATATATATATATATATATATATATATATTTATTTATTTATTTTGAGATAACCTCTGTTTTTAACTTCATTTTTATTTTAACATAAGTTGATGATTTTATATATATATATATATATATATATATATATATATATATATATATATATATATATATATAATATAATATATATATATATATATAATATATATATATATATATATATATATATATATATATATATATATATATATATATATATATATATATATATATATATATATATATTTATTTATTTATTTATTTATTTATTTATTTATTTTGAGATAACCTCTGTTTTTAACTTCATTTTTATTTTAACATTAGTTGATGATTTTATTTGGATTATTAATGCAGAATAACCCAAGACAGCCACTCTGGCTTATTTTCATTGTAGTCCTCTAATCCTTATCCCAGGGTGTAACCTACAACAGTCGACTAACACCCAGGTACCTACTTACTGCAAGGTGAATAGGACAACATAGGTAAGCAAGCATATCCAAATCTCCCACTTGTTCTGGGATCAAAACAGGATCCCTCAGATGTGAGCTGAAGATGCTACCACTTGAACCATGAACTCAAGTAGTAATTATTTCCCCTTATAGCTACTCAAGTATAGAATTTTTAAGAAAATACCTTAGATGTACGTTTATTCTTGAAAGCCGAAGATCTCGGTTAAAGGTCAAAATATATAGCCCAATCCATTCATTGTGTTTGTTTGCATGTGGGTTCTTATGTCTTATTCTTAGATGCTTAGAATTAGAGTGTGTGAGTAATGCTCAACATACTGTACATCACTCTGATATGAATGTAAGAAAAGGTACTCCTATATTAATGGAAAAAATTTCAGTAATCTGAAAGTAAACATTTTATATTTTCAATATAACTTGTCTTCATTGTGTAGCCTACAGAAAGCATCCCAAACAACAGCAGTGATGCAAGTAGCAGTAACGAAACTATCAATGTCAGCAGCACTGAGTCCACACCCACCAGTAGTCCAAGCAGTAGTAAAGTTAACAAGAGTCAAGCTGAGCTCTCCCACCTCCTCAACACCCATGTACCCTGGAATTCACCTGGATTCTCTACTCCTGATGATATAAAAGGAGAACTGAAGGTTCTTCTACACTCCAGCTATGTCATTGGTTAGTAAAGGTGATTCTTTTTTTTTAACAAGTTGGCCGTCTCCCAATGAGGCAGGGTGACCCAAAAAGAAAGAAAATCCCCAAAAAGAAAATACTTTAATCATCATTCAACACTTTCACCTCACTCACACACAATCACTGTTTTTGCAGAGGTACCCAGAACACAACAGTTTAGAAACATATACATATAAAGATATACAACATATCCCTCCAAACTGCCAATATCCCAAACCCCTCCTTTAAAGTGCAGACATTGTACTTCCCATTTCCAGGACTCAAGTCTGGCTATATAAAAATAACCGGTTTCCCTGAATCCCTTCACTAAATATTACCCTGCTCACACTCCAACAGTTCGTCAGGTCCCAAATACCATTTGTCTCCATTCACTCCTATCTAGCACACTCACGCATGCTTGCTGGAAGTCCAAGCCCCTCGCCCACAAAACCTCCTTTACCCCCTCCCTCCAACCTTTTCGAGGACGACCCCTACCCCACCTTCCTTACCCTACAGATTTATACGCTTTCCATGTCATTCTACTTTGATCCATTCTCTCTAAATGATCAAACCACCTCAACAACCCCTCTTCAGCCCTCTGACTAATACTTTTATTAACTCTACACCTTCTCGTAATTTCCACACTCTGAAATCTCTGCATAATACATGTATTTACACCACACATTGCCCTTAGACAGGTGATATTGGTTTAATTTTTCTGTTTTACATTAATTATAATTATTATTACATTCATGGGAAATGCTAAACCCATAAGGGTGAAACAGTGTCTGGTGGGACTCAGTTCAAGGAATTGGACTGCAGGTCCTAATTGTTAGATCAAGAGCCCTCACCAGCAAATTAATTACAAATATAGGAGGGCCCCACTTATATATCAGGCTAGGGTCCGACCTGCCTCTGTAAAGTGAATAATAGCCTTTTTTTCACTTTCAAATACAGATAAAAACCTGATAGTGTTAGCATCATATACATTGGAACCCCAATTTTCGTCTGGTCTGGTTATCGTACAATTCAGTTTTCGACCACTTTTTTTGGTGAAATTTTCCCCGTTTTCCTACATCTGCTCAGAAATCATCCATACCAGACACATCTGCCTGCCTGCGGGATGCGGCTGCTCATACATTCGTGACTTAGTCTGCCTTTATTACTCATTCAGTGAGCATTACTCTGCACATTCATCCGAAACATTTTGTAATAATCCATTGTTTTTTGTGCTTACAACTGCTAAATAAGCCACCATAGGGCCAAAGAAAGTTCCAAGTGCCAGCCCTTTGATAAAGAAGGTGAGAAACACGATGGAATTCAAGAAAGAAGTCATAGAAAAATACGAAAGTGGCCAAGCTCGTAAGGATGTATGGGAAGTCCAAATCAACAATCAATTCCATCCTGGCAAAGAAAAAAGAAATCAAGGAAGCTGATGTTGCGAAAGGGATAAATGTGCTAACGAAACAGAGATCGCAAACAATCAAAGATGTTGAGACGTTGTTGGTGTGGATTGACCAAAAAACAGTTAGCAGGAGATAGTGTTGTGGAGGTGATAATTTGCAAAAAGGCAAGGCAGTTGCATGTGGATCGTAAAGAAAATGCCTGGAACGAGTGCTGCTGTTAGTGAATTGTGGCCAGAATGTGTCCTCCAGAAGGATTTTGAAGGGTTTGAGGCTGACCCTGATGACCCTATGCCTGTTGTGGAATCTATTGTGTCTTTGGGAAAGTCCATGGGGTTGGAGGTGAGCGGCCAGGATGTGGAAGAGTTGGTGGATGACCACAGGGAAGAGCTAACCACTGAAGAGCTGCAAGACCATCATCTGGAGCAGCAGTAGACCTTAGCTTAGGAAATTGCTTCTGAGGAGGAGGAGGAAGAGAGAGGGGAGAATGTGCCTTCTTCAGCAATTAAGGACATTTGTGCAAAGTTTTGTGGAGAAATATCACCCTAACAAAGCTGTTGCAAGCCGTGTCAGCAACATGTTCAATGACAATACAGTGCCCCATTTTAAGCAAATCTTAAAGAGACGCCAGAAACAGGCCTCTCTGGACAGATTTTATGTGCAACAGGGGTCCAGGGACTCTCAAGCTGGTTCTAGTGCCAGTAAAAGACAAAGAAGGGAAGTAACTCGGATAGGGCTTTGATACTTGAAGTCCTTATGGAGGGGTATTTCCCTTCCAAACAATAACCTCTCCTCCTCTCCCCTTTTGTTAATATTTTTGGGTGTCTGGAACGGATTAATTGGATTTACATTATTTCTTATGGGAAATATTACTTCAGTTCTCATACAAATCAGTTTTCGGCCGACCTTCTGGAAGAGATTAAAGACGAAAAGCAGGGTTCCACTGTACTCTATTAAGCAATATAGCTAGGTTTAAAAAATGCATATAAGTACGAACCTTACTTACCTTAAAATATTTACGTTCTTGGCTTGTAGTGAATGGTGAATATACTGTATTTATTGTAGGAAATCTGAATAAATGAAGAATGGGTATAATTGAAAGCTGCTGTATTAGCGGAACGCTACAAAGCGGGTCTTGCCTGTACATATATATATAGTGAATTCTCATCATTCATATGGTTCTGTTCCATGAAATCCCTGTGAATGGCAAAATTGTAAACAGAAAGTTAGGGGCTTGGAGTCACAGAAGACTTCCCTTAGTGTCTAGTTTGGGAACCTGTATTTTTTATATTAAAGAGACTAACAAATACTGAGTTAAACAAAGAAATTATTGTTATTATTATATTCTTATAAAGCACCTAACCTGTATTGGAAACATTGAACCACTGGAAATAATATAATTTTTGGGAGGTATTGAGCCCTTGTAAGGTGTAGAGACCTGGGGGAGCATGGAGTTCTTGGTAGTTTTGTGTGATATTCTGTCAGTGATAGAGTAGCAGCTCATGGGTTAAATGTAGCAGTCTAAAACTACTTGGATTTTTCATAAGTTTCCTAATACAGTTGGTGGGGTAAGTGTGGAGGTGAGTGGGTGAGCGAGAGGGCATGTGGGTGAGCAAGAGGGCATATGGGTAAGCGAGCGTGTAAATGAGAGGATACAACACATGCTTCATGTTATCTGTATGAGAGAAAGAAGGTGAGGTCTTGCAGGAGGGAGATGAGGTAGGGTGAAGTAATGAGTATGAGAGTACCTATTTGTGATTACCTTTCTTGTAGCTACAGGATCATGGTGTCCTGTCCTCATGCAGTATTTAGTCTATTGTGAAGTTTTTAAAGTTACCAGTGGTTGTAGCATTAACTGTACGGCATCCTCTTGTAACTCATTTCTACATTCTGCCAGTCTATATAGAACTTTCTAGTATCCCTTAGTTCAGAGCTATGAACTATTGTTCTCCCTGTTACTGGTGCTACAAAAGTTTTCCTTATTAATCTTTCATTTTCTTTTTATAATCTTATACAAGGATATGATTATGATCATTTTGTCTTCTCTTTTCCTCTCATCAACCAGTGAGAGGATCCAAGTGACTTACTGCTGACATTAGTGAAAGAGACATGTTGTAGAAGAAAGCTTTTATTGGGGCAACAGCTTGCTAACTGTCAATTTCTACATAGTGAAATTGTGTCCTAGTTAACACTTGTTCTTCCCTCTCCCACTATGCCCCCTCTCATCACTGCCCATCTCACAATGCCCCCATCACTCCCCATCCCACTACCCTTCCCATCACTCCCCTCCTATTACACCTCCCATCACTCCCCATCCCACTACCCCTCCCATTAATCCCCATCCCACTGCACCTCCCATCACTCCCTTCCCATTATACCCCTTCCCATTACTTCTCCCACCACCTTGTCTTCACCTCAGAGCCAATAAGAGCATGTCTAATCCTTCTAACTTGATAACCTTTTTTTTTTTACTAGGCCTGTGAGCCATTTCATAGCTCATCTTTGGACTTTTTCTAGCCTGTCTCCATATTTTTTACATGCAGTCTGTCATTCCACTTCCTTAATTTACCCAGGTCTTCCTGCAAGAATACTGTACAGTCATTTATATCGCTGATTTTGGATAGGATCTTTGAATCATCTGCTGATATGTTTGCTTGTTCACATAACTTTTCATTCTTTCTGGCAAATAATTTTTATAATTTAGAAACATTATCAAGGCAAGTGCTGATCCTTATGGCACCCTACTAGTGACATTATCCCAAAAGGACATTGAATTGTGAGATTTATGCTTCTTTGTTAAGACAGCTAGGAAATGAATGGTGGTTGTTTTCCTTCATTGAATCATCCTGTCTTGGTAGAAAATAGCCCATGTATTAAAAAACAAAATCTGCAGTTTCCCACCTTGGTAGGGTGACTCAAGATTAACAAATTCACTGTTCATGATAAAGAGTACTATAAGGTTGTAAATTCACCATTACTTATTCCTTAGCTGTTTTTCTTGCACTAAAATGCTATTGTTTTCACTGCTAAGTACAGTAGTTGATTTTTTGCACAATAGCTCAGCCCATTTACCATTTTCATTTTTGCACAAAGTAGATTTAGGCATTTTAATAAAACTTTATTTAATTCTTTACAAAGAAATATGACATAAAGCTTAGCAAAGTACTGTACCTACTAAGTTTATTGTAACTTGCTTACAAAAGGAGCCCAATACCTATTTTTGATTAGGTTTGCATGAAACCTTGAACCTGGGAGTGTGGGTGAGCTTCACTGTGAACAGTCAAACAATTTCTCTAACGGAGAAGGAGAAACCGCACATACCAGAAGAAATAGAAATAAAGCCAGAAGTGAGTTATTGCTAATTTTATTCTTTTTTTTTTTTTTTTAAGTTTTCTGTTAATATTATTATTATAAACTGCTGTATTACAATATATACTTTTTATTCTTTTATTAATACTGTATTCTGCATGGCTTAACAGGATGTTCGCATAGTGGATGAGAAACCTCCTCCTTGCTGGGAGGCAGATCTGAGATTAGATCGACTTCCTGAAGACCAGTGTCAAAGGATGTTGTCTACAGAAGCATACCTTGCTAATAATATTACACTCATTCAACTGTTTCCTGAAGGTTAGCTATATAATACTACATCATGAGGTGAAGAGTAAAACTAAAGTTTCCTTAATTTTCTTTCAAGGCAACATCAGAATATTTGAAGCTGTATGGATGCACCCTGATGCATTCTCATAAATTATTCATTACTCGAGTGTTTGGAGCTCTGAGCTTATTTTCCCATGTTATAATCGGAGATGTATTCCCAAGCCATAATATTCAATTTCTGCTTTCTTTTTAATAATGAAATTAATAATGTATAGTATTCAGGAGAGTCCCTTCTTCTATCATTCCTCTTTCTCCCCTTGCTTCTGTTACCTCTCTCATATTCTCTCCCTCCCACTCTCCCATCTAACACAACACACTTTATATATGCTCTCTATCCTCTCACTCACTTTTAATATGAGCATATCGGGTGTCTGGACGTGTGGTATGGGAAAATGGCAGAGTTTAATTGTGCAGGAAGAGAGGGTTGTGGTGTGAGTACAGTAAGCCAAGCTAGGGTAGAGAGAGGATGAAGAGGTGGGTCACCTGTCCTTTTACCCATCTTCCTTGCAATGAGCACCAACCAGGATATGGGGTCTCCTCATGAGACTTCCTGGCATCCCAACCATCCTTCCATCCTTCCCCACTCAACAGCCACTGGTAGGTACCAGACATGGATAGCTGTACTGACCAACAGAATATCAGAAATATTACATCTACAGATCTTCGCTAATCTCTACCAAACAAATATAAACTCTCCACACATGCATAAAACAAACAAATGGTACATAAACTGATATCAGCTCATTTGTAAAAAAATTAGAATTTTTCAATAATTTGCCTTAACAAAACTGTAGTTAGTGTATAATCTACATTTCTTTTCTAATCTCCTCCAAATAAAAAACAAAAAGGCACAATACCGTGATGGGAACAATACATAAATAATCCACACATAGGAGACAAGCATATAACTTAATGTGACTTGTAAATGGTCCTATTTGGACCAAAACACTTGTCATAAGCTTCCCTCTCCTACGTGTGTTATTTGTGTGTTACTTCTCCAAATAAATATGAAATATCCACACATGCATTAAATAAACTTACAGAAATTATTAATGCATTTGTTAAAAAAATCTAAAAAAAAAAAATTAAATATTTGCAATAATCATATCTGCAGAGTGCCATTCATAAGTAATTAATTAGTTAGAAAGTACGCTGATTGGAAGTGCAGATGTTTGTATGTTGGATGCTCTTGCATTAGCAACCTACTGTATCAGTAGTTGGCAGTTGTTTCAGAGACACAGGGTTTCCACGAAATGCTCTGCATATAAAGGGACTTTTGGCATGTATACCCAATTGTTATACTCCTTTGTACAAACATGTATCATGCTAAAATAAAATTATTATTATTATTATTATTAAATATGAGGAGACATTTTCTTATATATGGAATTACCATTTGTATAATCAAATTTCTAGATGTGTGGGATTGCATTTTCTGCAGCATTTTTGAAGAGAGTACCTCAAACATGCATCTCTATCATAGCATATTTTGTCCATGGAGAATCTTTTATTTATGCATGCAGCACATAAGAATATTGTAGCTATTCCCTTGCATTCTTTGCTAGTCTTGATAAGCACTCTTGTAAAGTTGTAAAGAAAGGTTTGAACTTATAAAAGTAATTTTTGTGGCCTGATTAGGGTTTAGCACATAATCTGATTTCTTTACTACTGTACATTTCTTCTCCTTTTCATATCAATTTTTCAAGCATCATTGTTAATCAAAGAGGATAGTATGAACAGAGGTCAGTTCATGAGTTACTTCTTTATTGCAATTATTTAGCACCCTGCTGCTGTTGCTCATGCTGTTATTAAGCTAGTGTTTTTCATTTTTGAGATGACCTGATTTTATTTAAATTGCATCAGGATATAAGTGGATCTGACCTTCCATAGCACAAATAATAAATTTTTTATTATAGTGCAGCAGGTTATCAAAGAATTATATTGTGGCCTTGAGTTAACCTCCCTCAAAAGATATGCTGTTTAACCAAACCACCAGTCTCACAAGAGTTAGGTTCCTAGGCCCTTGCAAATTCAGAATTCAGAATACCACTAAATTTTGTCTTTACAATAAATCTTGTTTCAGATGGCTTATTTTTGTGTTTCAGAAACACTGTCTTTAAATAGTGTTTTAATCGAGGACCACTTCAGTAAAAACATTGGGTAATTGAAGCATGTGAATTACAAAGCTTGTAAATCTGGTGGTTTGCCTGCATATACCTTCAATACCATTTTTTTAATGCTCTCAATTCTTTTTGCCTCAACATTTTTAGAGTATAAAGGCAAAGGGGATAAAAGAGAGTGCAAAAATTATAGGGGGATAAGTCTGTTGAGTGTACCTGGTAAAGTGTATGGTAGAGTTATAATTGAAAGAATTAAGAGTAAGACGGAGAATAGGATAGCAGATGAACAAGGAGGCTTTAGGAAAGGTAGGGGGTGTGTGGACCAGGTGTTTACAGTGAAACATATAAGTGAACAGTATTTAGATAAGGCTAAAGAGGTCTTTGTGGCATTTATGGATTTGGAAAAGGCGTATGACAGGGTGGATAGGGGGGCAATGTGGCAGATGTTGCAAGTGTATGGTGTAGGAGGTAGGTTACTGAAAGCAGTGAAGAGTTTTTACGAGGATAGTGAGGCTCAAGTTAGAGTATGTAGGAAAGAGGGAAATTTTTTCCCAGTAAAAGTAGGCCTTAGACAAGGATGTGTGATGTCACCGTGGTTGTTTAATATATTTATAGATGGGGTTGTAAGAGAAGTAAATGCGAGGGTCTTGGCAAGAGGCGTGGAGTTAAAAGATAAAGAATCACACACAAAGTGGGAGTTGTCACAGCTGCTCTTTGCTGATGACACTGTGCTCTTGGGAGATTCTGAAGAGAAGTTGCAGAGATTGGTGGATGAATTTGGTAGGGTGTGCAAAAGAAGAAAATTAAAGGTGAATACAGGAAAGAGTAAGGTTATGAGGATAACAAAAAGATTAGGTGATGAAAGATTGAATATCAGATTGGAGGGAGAGAGTATGGAGGAGGTGAACGTATTCAGATATTTGGGAGTGGACGTGTCAGCGGATGGGTCTATGAAAGATGAGGTGAATCATAGAATTGATGAGGGAAAAAGAGTGAGTGGTGCACTTAGGAGTCTGTGGAGACAAAGAACTTTGTCCTTGGAGGCAAAGAGGGGAATGTATGAGAGTATAGTTTTACCAACGCTCTTATATGGGTGTGAAGCGTGGGTGATGAATGTTGCAGCGAGGAGAAGGCTGGAGGCAGTGGAGATGTCATGTCTGAGGGCAATGTGTGGTGTGAATATAATGCAGAGAATTCGTAGTTTGGAAGTTAGGAGGAGGTGCGGGATTACCAAAACTGTTGTCCAGAGGGCTGAGGAAGGGTTGTTGAGGTGGTTCGGACATGTAGAGAGAATGGAGCGAAACAGAATGACTTCAAGAGTGTATCAGTCTGTAGTGGAAGGAAGGCGGGGTAGGGGTCGGCCTAGGAAGGGTTGGAGGGAGGGGGTAAAGGAGGTTTTGTGTGCGAGGGGCTTGGACTTCCAGCAGGCATGCTTGAGCGTGTTTGATAGGAGTGAATGGAGACAAATGGTTTTTAATACTTGACGTGCTGTTGGAGTGTGAGCAAAGTAACATTTATGAAGGGATTCAGGGAAACCGGCAGGCCGGACTTGAGTCCTGGAGATGGGAAGTACAGTGCCTGCACTCTGAAGGAGGGGTGTTAATGTTGCAGTTTAAAAACTGTAGTGTAAAGCACCCTTCTGGCAAGACAGTGATGGAGTGAATGATGGTGAAAGTTTTTCTTTTTCGGGCCACCCTGCCTTGGTGGGAATCGGCCGGTGTGATAAAAAAAAAAATTTTTAGAGTAATTCTTTTTAATCCAATTGTTTGATTTTGAGTTTACATATCCTGGTTCAGATTAGTGTTTAATAAAAAAAATAGAGTACTGTATATCATGTCTCCTTTAATAACAAAAAGAATACTGCATATCATGTCTCCGTTAATAAAAAATAGAGTACAGCGTATGTCTCCTTTAACCCTTTGAGGGTTTCAGCCGTACTAGTACGGCTTACGACCCAAGGTTTTTGACGTACTAGTACGCCTAAATTCTAGCGCCCTCAAATCTAGTGGGAGAAAGCTGGTAGGCCTACATATGAAAGAATGGGTCTATGTGGTCAGTGTGCACAGTATAAAAAAAATCCTGCAGCACACAGTGCATAATGAGAAAAAAAAAACTTTGACCGTTTTTTTGGAATAAAACAGCGACTTTGCACTGTATTTTCGTATGGTATTGATTGTTGTATTCTAGTTTTCTTGGTCTCATTTTATAGAATGGAAGACATATTACAGAAATTGAGATGATTTTGATTGGTTTTACAATGAAAAGTACCTTGAAATTGAGCTCAAAGTAGCAGAAATGTTCGATTTTTACCGAAGTTCAAAAGTAAACAAATTATGCCAAGCGTCCAATACACATCAACTGGTGAGTCCAATATTCTTTCGCAAGTGCACCAATATTATTTATACCATTTTTTACACTAATGCAGTAGTCTGCATAACAGTAAATCATCTATTTTTTGTGAGAATAAAAATTCAAAGTGGAAAGCAAAAGAATGTAAGAGGGGCCTTGAGACATAACTAATGAACAAAGGAAATGTCATTTTAGTGCCAGGAATGTCTTTCTTGTTTATTCTGGACCCTATTCGGAAATTGGCATCTTTTGAAATTTGTGTGAAATTGGCAAAATTGCTAAATTCTGACCACTGTACTGGATAGTTGAAATTGGTAAATGGGTGGTTTCTTGCACACATTCGATAAAAAAAAATGGAGTTCTAGCGAAATAGTCATGTTTTTTGTCGACTAGTACAGTGGAATTGGCCGAAAATGGGGCTCAAAGTGGGCAAAATCGCTTATGCGTAAGCATCGCCGAGACCGCAAACTTCGCAAGAGCATAATTCCGTAAGTTTTCCATCAAATTTCATACTTTTGGTGTCATTATGATCGGGAAAACATTCTCTATCTTTTCATAAGAATTTTTTTTTTTTTTCTTTTAAATTTGGCCGACCCTGAGAACGAGTCTCGGAGAGGGCCTATCAACCCTCAAAGGGTCAATAAATAAAAATAGAGTACAGTGTATGTCTCCTTTAGTAAATAAAAATAGAGTACTGTATACCATGTCTCCTTTTCAGAAATGGAGACAGATGAGCTTCTGATCAGTGAAGGTCATCTTCTATCTAACCTGGCACCAGTGAAGATTGGCTACAAAGTGGGAGCTCATGCAGCAATGGTTAATGCTATAAGATTCTGGGCCTCTACAATGGGCGTTCTGAATATTGTACATGGTCCTGTTTTTGATTATGATCTGGATGGTCACCAAGATCCTGTGGCACATACACTGTAAGTTGTTATGCAAAAATGTGGGATAGCTGGGGGCTTGAGCCTGGTCTAAGGGCAAAGGTAAAAGTTACACACATCTCAAGCCCAAACCAGCCACCCAGGGCTATCCCAGTCAAAACAGAAAGCGCTAAACTAGTATGTGTACTTAAAGGGGTTGGGTAACAGAGGGTTAGGCAAAAAATCCCAATTAGGAAAATATATCTATTTAGTCACCATAACATAACAGAAACACCTTAATCCTAAACGCCCAAATGAGGGTACACAAGCAGCAGCTGGCTTGAGGTCCAGCCACCATAACACCTATGCCTCGTCAGCACCAGGCCCACTTTACTCCACTCCCAACCTCATTTCTTATTTCCTCACTCCTCCCACAGCACCCTGACCATGTCAAAGCCTGAGTGAACATACAGGTAAGCCATATGAGAGCCTATGGCTTGAGTTGGATAAACAAAATGAGTGCACAACTACAAACTTATCTTAAATACACAGCATCTCCGACGCCAGCCTCTACACACCATGCTAACGTCACGTGACTCCCCCAACCCACACTTACTCCGCGTACCCAAACATCCTTGGAAAATAAATCATTAACAGAATTTCTTTATAATTACAGTTAGAGTACTTTACAGTACCCCGAAATGCACATTATCAATTATAAAATTATTCTTTACAACTATAATATTCATACTATTATGGCACACTTCTCCACTATATGTACATTACGATGTCATGCAGAACCCTGCATAACATAAGTACATTTATTTTTGTATCACTAAAAAAAATTTGAAAATAGACAAGAAACAAAATTCTGAATATTTTGATCCCTACACTGGGATTTTCCTCAGAAAGAGTTCAGCATGTTAGATAGGAGTGAGTGGAGACTATTGGTTTTTGGAACCTGACGAGCTGTTGGAGTGTGAGCAGGGTAATATTTTGTGAAGGGATTCAGGTGAAACCGGTTAACCAGACTTGAGTCCTGGAAGTGGGAAGTACAGTGCCTGCACTTTAAAGGAGAGGTTTGGGATATTGGCTCTTTGGAGTGACATCTAAACTGTGGTATCTGGGTGCCTCTGCAAAAACAGTGATTATGTGTGAATGATGATGAAAGTGTTTCTTCCTTTTTCGGGTCACCCTGCCTTGGTGGGAGATGGCCAGCATATTAAAAAAAATAAGAATAATAATAATAACTATCATTTTCCAGAAATACAGTGAAGCCTCTAGTGCCCAGTGACTATTTCTTTGTGGTCACTCTGTGTACCAATACATCGACAACCTCATGCTCAGGAGACCCACAAGATGTCCTGTCTTTTGTTTTCCCCAACACAGAAATACATGACAATTGTCTTATGGTGAGATTCAGTTAATCCATTTTCAGTTGTTCTTGACATATATTTAAAGTAAGAGCAATTTATTTTACAGTCTTCTCATTATGCAGCACTGTTTAAACATTATATCTCTCAACATTGTTTGCTGTATTTAGTATTATACTGTCACACTGAATGAAATAAAATCTTGTTTTAAAGCAAGCAAGAATATGATGAAAATTCTTAATATTTCAGTAGATATGAAAATCTGTCTCTTGCATGCAGTATCATAAGGCTGAAAAGTACATTAGTAAATATACAAAAGGATAAAAAAACATTTTTGTATAAATCTGAGAATTTGGTTTTGTATTTGTATTGTTATGTAGTCATACCCAGAATTCATGGCATCAGTTGTTTATGTGATTTTTTGAGCACAACTCCTAAATTTAAAACTAGCCTTCTGACTTTGTTTTAAATGTGCTTAGTGCATGTAATATTCTCAAATATTTTCCTGTTTAGACAACCAAATTAGACCAATATTTAAAGAGATACAGCAACTTTTATGAAGGGTTTCATATAAGATAGTTACCCAGACTTGAGTCCTGGGGGTGGAAACGGCAGTGCCTACACTCTGATAGAAGGGTGAGGATGTTCCCATTGGGGCGTAATATGAATCATGATGTCAGCACACTTCTAAAAAGACAGAAAATGAATGAATGATGGTGAATGTGTTTTATTTCTTTGAGTCACCCTGCCTTAGTGAGAAACAGCTGTTGAGGAAAAAAAAAATTAAAGATAGAAGGGGATAGACTGAAATTAGAGACTGTCTCTGTTGATTTGTGAGTTTCAGTGCATTTATATATTTGAGATGATGGCCACCTCTAGTGGATCACATAGCCTCGGAGAAGTAGGAGTAATATATTTATTTTGTTCATAGATTCATCTTTGTTAAATTTTGTGCTTTACAGAATGATACTGAGTACTTACAATATCACTTAACCACTGTAAGAGATGTGGAGCTCCTAACAGGACTACGTTTCTTCAGAAGTAAATACGTGCGCGACAGCCTGACTTACAGAACATGGCAACACATCCATATCTGGCCTCTGCCACTCCGTGAAAACACTGCAGGCCAAAAACTCGGCCAGAGAGTAGGCAAGGCTGAAGGCTCATAACATGCAAATATTTATAGTGTTAAAGTTAGTTGTAGCCTATTGCATTCCCTACTTGAATGGTACAGTGAAAAGTTGTAAAATATGTTTAGCTATAGACAGAAAAATTTGCTCATATAAACCTATGTTGTGTTTCAAGCATTTTGTGATTCAGTGAATGACTTGGAATGTGTTTAATATTAAAGTGGTGAAACACTGTTCATAATAATATAAGTGTATTGAGAGTGAGTAAAATTCAATATATATCAGTGATATGCTGGAAAAAATGGCTAGAATCAGCAAGAAAGCAGCAGCATTTTTGTATTGTTTAAATAATATTTTAAATACATGAAAATTTTTACCACTTTAATTTCACAAAAAACTACTCTTTAACCAGTGTGTGTATATACCTGTACATATCTTGTCTCTGTATGTAAGTAAAGGTAAAGATAATGTATTATATATGGTGCTAGAATTAAGTGATTCAGTATATAATATTTGCTTTGTGCAGTAATAAGGTAGATCTAATAGTCCAGAAATCTCGAATTATGACTTTCTACTGTGGTTATATTTAAGGCAGACTGCATAATGAGAGCAGAACAGCTTCCATTAGAAAACCAGCCCCAAAAAATTTTGTTATATCCTGTATGAGAAGAAATGATGTTAGGTTGTAATATTTTCCACCTGAACCTATAAAGTTTATGAAAATATGAATAAGCAATAGAAACTTTATAAAATAATAGATGCCACATTGGCATGTAATGCTTGTCATAAGAGGCGACTAAAATGCCAGGAGCAAGGGCCTAGTAACCCTTTCTCCTCTATAAATTACTAAATTTAAAAAGGAAAACTTTTGTTTTTCTTTTTAAGTCCTCCTGCCTCGTTGGAATACGGCTGGTTCATTGGGGGGAAAAAATATTGGCATGTAGTTCCCTACAAGATTTTAATGAAATACAAAATTGTGAGATAATGTGAATGGCAACTGTATAATATTTACTTGTTGGCTAATTATTTTGCATACCATCATGTTGACACTCCATGCAAACAATGTAGTCAGATGACTCACTTGAAGATTCATGTACAAAGATTAGAGTGGTAATACTTAAGTTTGACTTGAGTTCTAGACATGTATGAAGATGAGAGTGATAATACCTAAGTTTGACTATGAGGTCTAAGTGCTTGTATGAAGATGAGTGATATCTAAGCTTGATCCCATTAGAATTTTTTCTTAATATTCGTAAGTTTTTACTTATTATTTGTATAGAAGTATATGGCAGAGAGTGTCTGCCAGGAATGAGAAATTACACGAAATCAAGGAAGATGAATTTGTGGATACCGAACTTATTGTATATTTCAGTGGGAGAATGGGGATGCATTCTGTACCTCCTTTGGTACCCTACCATAGTCTTAACAGTCAACTGTAGTACAAATACATCATCTAACAGAACTAAATGTGAATACACAAATCATAGTTCTGAGAGCCAAGCTCATGAATAAAATCATGGTTACATATGCAAGTCTTGTGCTGGAAGCCAATTTTGCAAATAACATGGTAATACCATAGATAAATTATAGTTCTCAAAGACAAGCTTTTAGACAACACCATAATAAGCCATGGTACTGGGAAGCAAGCTTGTGTATATACTATATGTGGGTTGAATATCTGTAAACCTAGTTGCAGGTAAAGCATTGAAATGTAAAGTAAATTTGTGAAAGCAAAACCCTTGAATAATGATCTTGTACAGTAAAGTACTGTATATGATATTTTTGTTTTTAAAACAGTGACATGGATGAAAATATGAAGATAGCAGAGCATACACATGTGCATGTGTGTGTGCATGTATGTGTGCATATGTGTGTGTGTGCATGTGCATGTGTATGTGTATATATACATATGCTTTATTGTCATTGTTGTGACCTCTGGATCTTGGACTACTTAACTGAAAACTTTCCGAACCTCGAAGTCCATATATGATGTGATAAGTATAATAAAATGTAAATGGTGTACACGACTCTAATAAATCTACATACACAGAGAACATTTTATAGGATTAGAGATCAACTAATTTCATTTTTGCTACAAGAATGGAAATATTTTTTTAATTTACATTCAAATATTTACATTTACAGTAACAACTAGTATATAAAATATTTTTACAAATTGGCAAATTAAAAAATTATTACTAAATTAACTTTTTTTAAATAATGTGTGACTTTCTAACTATCGTAAACAATTCACAACAAACCTGAGGAATTATAGAACGTAAATATATATTTTTACTTTATGCTGTGATATTTTATTCTTCCTACACAAGACTTGTCCAGATAGCTGTCTGTGTTAATGATGACCTTTTGACACAAGACTCTTGTCCTGAAATATACCTGCAGTGGGTTTCAGAGGTCAATGCCCCCATGGCCCGATCTGTGACTAGGCCTCATGATGGATCAGGGCCTGATCAGCCAGGCTGTTGCTGCTGGCTTCATGTAAACTGATGTACAAACTACAGCATGGCTGGTCAGGTTCTGACTGTAGGTACCTCTCAAATGCCTTCTTGAAAACAGCCAGGGGTGTATTGGTAATCCTTTAGTATGTTGGGAGACAGTTGAACAGTCTTGGGCCCCTGACACTTATTGTGTTGTCTCTTAGTGTACTCATTGCATCCCTGCTTTTCGATGGGGGATGTTGCGCCGCCTGCAAAGTCTTCTGCTTTTGTAGGGATTTTCCAAGTGTATGTTATCATGTATCTTGCCTGTGTTCCAGGGAATACAAATCAAGGGACTTCAACCATTCCCAATAATTTAGGTACTTGTCATACCTATAGGTGCCGTGAAAGCTCTCTGTATGTTCTCCAGATCTGCAATTTTGCATGCCTTGAAAGTGGCCATTAATATGCAGCAATATTCCAGCCTAGAGAGAACAAGTGATTTGAAGAGAATCATCATAAGATTGTCATCTCTAGTTTTCATGGTTCTTGTTATCCATCCTATCATTTTCCTAGCAAATGTGGTAGATACATTGTTGTGATCTTTGAAAGTGAAACCCTTAGACATCATCACTTCCAGGTACAGTGGACCCCCGGTTATCGGCCGTAATCCGTTCCTGAAGGTCAGCCGATAACCGAAATGGCTGATAACCGAATTAATATTTCTCATAAGAATTAATGGAAATAAAATGAATTCGTTCCAAACAAAAATATCCACAAAAAAATTTTTTTTTACAATTATGTAAATACACCTACCATCCGACTTACGACCTGCTCGACTTATGACCACTCGACTTACGACCGTGTTTTTTATGCCAAATTTCTGGGAAATAAACAACTATTTGTGTTGTACACAGTGTTTATCCTAAACCTTACAGTATAAAATACAGTACTAACAACATAAAAAGTAAAGTAAAACATGAAATACCAAAATAAAACAATAAAATAAAGTCATTACAAAAATGTTTTGTTGATATTCAGGAGTAAAGTTCGACTTACGACCGGTTTCTCGGAACCTAACTCGGTCGTACGTCGGATGGTAGGTGTATTACATACCTTTATTGAAGGCCAATGCTGGCTTCTGGAAGATAGGGAGGAGGAAAGAGGGAGGAGTTAGTGTTTGGAAGGGGAATCCCCCTCCATGAAGACTAGGTAGCTATGTCTTCTCTGAGTTACTTCCCTTCTCTGTCTTTTAATGCCAGTAGAACCAGCTTGAGAGTCACTGAACCCCTGTCTCACAAAAAAATACATGTCGAGAGTGCTCTGTTTCTGGCGTCTCTTTAAGATTTCCCTGAAGTGGGTAATGTAGGTCCTGTTTGACATTTTCTTCCAAAACAGGCCTGTTTTGTCACAATTGAAAACTTGTTGGAGTTTAACTCCTTCAGCCTTTACATAGTCCTGGAATTCATGAACATACTTTTCAGCCGCACATTTGTCAGAACTTGCAGCCTCACCATGCCTTACAACGCTGTGTATGCCACTATGCTTCTTAAATCCATCAAACCATCCTTTGCTGGCCCTAGATTCACAAACTGCAGCACTTGTTCCAGTCATTTTCTTTGCAAGATCCTCATGCAACTGCTTTGCCATCTCACAAATGATCGACTCCACTACACTGTCTCTCACTAATTCTTTTTCCTTAATCCACAATAATCATGACTTTTCCATCTCTTCAATTATCGGTGTCCTTTGTCTAGTTAGAAAAGCTACTCCTTTTGCAACATTAGCATCTTTGATTTGTTCTTTCTTTGCCAGGATGGATGTAATTGTTGATTTATTCTTGCTGTACATCCTGGCAAGTTCCACCACCTTCATACCACTCTCAAATTTTTCTATCACTTCACGCTTAAATTCCATGGTGTTTCTCACTTTCTTTACCACAGGAACTTGACTAGGAACTTTCTTTGGAGCCTTGGTTACTTATTTCACAGTTGCACTGCAAGAAAAACCACTAAAAACAATGGTAAACAAGCGAAATATTTGGATGTATGAGCAAACGCTTCATCAGCCACCGAGAGACAAAGCCAAACTGAAGCACAAGCTGCCCCAGCCGGGGATAGACGCGTCCAAAACGGCCGATAACCGAGTGAACGGCAGATAACTGAGTGCCGAAAACCCCGCCGATAACCAAACTGACCGATAACCAGGGGTCCACTGTACATTATACTACACCAAACTACACTACTGCTAGCCCTCCACGAGCTTCGAACATTTGCGAATGCCCAGCTGCCCAATCATATTTACCAAACAAATGTGGGAAAAAGTACGGGAAAACGCTTCCCACCATGTCCCTACTAGCCTCCCTCTTACCCCCTCAACCGGCAGCCCGCCAGTCCGCCACTCACTCGGTTATTGTCCAGTTACTGTTCGTGTCCTACCGTACATGTGTGTTTGTGTGGTGGTGCAAGTATGGCCCCTAAGCGAGCAGCAACTGCTATTGATGAGCCAACCCCTAAGTGCTCAAAGAAAGTCATGAATCTGGAGGAGAAGGTGAAATTGCTAGACAAGTGTAGGGCAGGTTATTTGAGCAATTCTGCCATTGGAAAATTATTTAATGTAAACAAAACCACAGTGTAGTTACACTCCATATATCACCTCCATTCAACTGTCATCAGTAACTACATGGCTATCATCGTCATTGTCATCGTCACCACAAGTCTTCAAGAGTTCGTCTGCATAACCTTACGAGTGGTGAGTGTTTTGTCTGTTCGTTTTCTGTTATTAAACCATAACATGTACGTACATACAATATTTTACGATGTTTTCATGTGTTTTATGATTGTTCGTGGTTCAATAGGTTAAGGAAGCAGTATTGCTAGGCTAAGTAAATGCTGTTAGTATTATATTTCCTCACAATATATTTGAACATCAAAACATTCGTGAACACAACAGTACAGTATTATTATATTTCCCTACATCATATGTGCACACCAAACATTCACAAATTTTCAAGATTTGTGAGGTTCTTGATCCCCTAACCTTCGCGAATGTGGAGGGCCACCTGTATACTATACTATACTACACCAAACTACACTATACTAGAAACCACACTATACTAAAAACTACACTATACAACACTAAACTACACAATACAACAAAAAAACTACACTATACTGCACCAAACTACACTATACTGAAAACTATGCTATACAACACTAAACTGCACTATACAACACCAAACTACACTATACAACACTAAACTACACTATACAACACTAAACCACACTATACAACACTAAACTACACTATACAACAAATTACACTATGAACATTAAAATGGTATAAAATACCGACAGATTGTTAGGTAAGACACATATGCAACAGTTAGGTATCTTTATTTCGAAACGTTTCGCCTACACAGTAGGCTTCTTCAGTCGAGTACAGAAAAGTTGATAGAAGCAGAAGAGACTTGAAGACGATGTAATCAGTCCATCACCCTTAAAGTTTTGAGGTGGTCAGTCCCTCAGTCTGGAGAAGAGCATTGTTCCGTAGTCTGAAACAATATAATCTATACAATAAACTACACTATACAACACTAAATTACACTATACAACACCAAACTACACTATACAACACCAAACTACACTATACAACACCAAACTACACTGGACAAGCACCTAAAGTCGGTTCCTGATCAGCCGGGCTGTGGCTCGTACGTTGGTTTGTGTGCAGCCAGCAGTAACAGCCTGGTTGATCAGGCTCTGATCCACCAGGAGGCCTGGTCACAGACCGGGCCGCGGGGGCGTTGACCCCCGGAACTCTCTCCAGGTAAACACTACACAACACTAAGCTACACTATACAACACTAAGCTACACTCTACAACAAACTACACTATACAACACCAAACTACACTATACAGCTTCAGACTACACTATACAGCTTCAATTTACACTATATGCCACCTTCACTATGTTACACTCTCACTATGTCACCTGTGTCACCTCTAATATGTCACCTTCTGTTGCGGCCCCCTACCAAACTAGTGGTTAAATAGTTAACCTGCCTGCCGGCAGTACCACTGGGTAAGTCATCAAACCCATTGTGGGGACTGCTGATCCGGCCTTAGAGCAGTAAGTACCTGAACACCTCACGGTACGCATGTAAGCAGTAAGTACCTGAACACCTCACCTTACGCATGTAAGCAGTAAGTACCTGAACACCTCACGGTATGCATCCGCAGCAGTAATTACCAGAACACCTTACAGTATAAATCTACTGGCAGTGGAGAGTATTCTCCTGCCCATCTTCTGGTATTCTACTGGCTTCTACTGATTTTAGAAGAGCCGCTCACTGCAGCTCACTGAGTCTGATGGCCTCAGTTACTTGACGGCCGCACTCAGTGAGCTTGCAGCATGGTGTTCTGCTAGTAATTCATCGGACCGCCTTGCGGTGTGTCAATTGGTCTTGAAGGCGGTAGATAGTACTCACCAGACCATCTTACGGTGTACTTCTACCGGCCTTGAAGAGTATTTACAGGACTACCGGTGATGTCTGCGGACTCACCGCCTACGCTGGTCAACTGTGGGCCGGAGTCATCGGATGCTGTTTTAGTGGGACATTACATGAAGAAAAGGTTGGAGTGTTACACTGAACTGGGCTAGGACCGTAGTGTGACACTTAAGCAAGTATGATGGAGTGGAACACTGAGATATGCTACAGGACCGTAGTGGAACACTGAGAAGAAAAGGGCGTCTTGTGACACTGAAGATGGCCTGGTTGTAGTGTACAATGAATAGTATCATGTGACTGGCCTCTCGAAAGACGCTACGTCGATAGTGAGTGTGTCGCAGAGACAAGGGTGT